GGTGTTTGATATTGTCTGATGACTAAATAAAATTCCACACGAAGTTGAGAAGCTGTCTCAAAGCACTTGTCTAATATGCAGCTGGACTTTGCCATTGGCTCCATCTCAGTGCTCAAAAGGAGGAAATTGTTGTTAATCTGTTAACTTGTAAAGGAATACTGTTTTTCATAACTCAAGGCAGAACCTGAGAACCTGCCAAATTTTTGCAAGAAAAAAATGTCCCAAGATGATGAAAATGAGTGAAATTCTAGAAACAGTCATGTTGGGGAGAGCAGACATAAACACCCAGAGGTCAGAATATATCACAGCAGGCTGATTAAACTCTAGCAAGTACATTATGTGTTACATTTTAAAAGAATACTCTGATCAAGTTTTGGAAGAGTAGTCTGCAACAATCTTTGTGCCCAAATACATTACACAGGAGTTTGATTTCAAGCTATCAAAAAAACCTGAGACCTGAAAATCCATGGGAAAGTATAAATTGGGATTAAGCAAGAGTTTGGCTTTTTCTTTCTTATTTCACTGTGTGGTACATCGCAGGTCTGGGTCTTGATCAGAATGATGACCGCTCTGAAACTTGTTTCTGAGAGGGTGACCTGCCTGCACCTGCTGTAATGCCTCTGTGTATCTCAAAGTGTCTGTAGCCTTGGGTATGCTTGCTGACTTGTTTTTATAAATACATATATGACAAGTATTTTGGAAAGCACCAGTTTCTTTTATTTGAACAAACCTGGCTTATTGTTTGTCTGATTTAATTTGGTTTTTTCCCTTGGCATTCCTATTCTGCATGAGGAAGAGCTAGTTTAGCCCTCATGTCTGTGTTCCCTAACCATACACAATATGAAAATGCATATTTTATTTCTATAAGAACTATTTTTTTCAGTAAGCACAGATAATTCCTTTAATTATTTTTTTTTTCAGTGTAAGATACAATGCTTGCACATCCACAAGAGATTGAATATTTCTAATTCTCAGATTGTATAAGCACTGAGCTTCATGGATTAAATTTTTAATACCATGACAGTAGAAAACAAATAAACAACACTTGTAGAGGGCTTAAAATACTTGGAGAAGCAGGACTTTGCAAAACAAATTCAGTTGTTGCAAGACAAACATCCCTCTTAAGTGAGATGGGAGTTAATACGTGAAGTGTCAATATGAAGATTATACAGCCATAAACACACTTGTGTATACTGAAACATCATTACTCTGATGGTCTCACCATACTTTTGAGGTTCATTAAAATAATACTTGTTTACTGTGTTGTGCACTTGACATACTTCCCTGGCTTGTTAAAAGGACAGTGCATGTGTTGTTTATCCAAACATACCAAGCATTTTTTGTTTTCACCTTTTTCTTTGTTCTGGGGGGAGGGACTCTGAATAGCTTGTTCAGAAATAATAGTCTAGTGGATTACATGCAAGGCTAAAAGCTGGGTACTGGACTCCTTGATGAAATCAAAGACTTGGTCAGAAATAGCACTGTGTCAAAAAAAAATTATATTTATCATAATACCTGTATGTTAAGAGGTTGCTTTTTCATGTGCAATGTCATGGTTGGAGCAGGATGTCTGCTCCATACATACTGCTTAGTATGGAATAGATTTTATGCTTCTGTAACCACAAATAGTTAATAAATAATTGCAGAGGACAGAGCAGAAAGTGGTTGAAAATACTAAGCAGGAGGTCTTCTGTGGAGCTGGAGTGTTGTCTGATATGTCTGTTTTGAGAATGAACCAAACTTTAAATGTCTTGGATTTGCTCTTGTTTGCTCATGTTTTTGACTGAGTTCTTGGATGGTTAGCAAATGTTCACTGTGTTTTGTAAGCTATTCTTTTGGCTGATTGCCCTGCATCAGCAATGCAAAGCATCAAAGTGTCTCAAGCTTTCTGAGAAGCTCTGCTGAAACGGCAGGTTCCTGTTTTTTCTGTGTGTTGCTCCTGCTGTGTATATAACCTATTTTGGCAATGTCAGCTGGTTATTTCTTTCCAGCTTGTGTGAAGTTTTGAATCATATCAAAAGAAAGGGAAGAATGCTGATTTCAGTGATGCATTACTTTGAGCTTTTACTTGCATTTTCCCACCACGTACAGATTTCAAGACAGCACTGTGCTTCTCTTTTCATTCCAGGCCACACTAGATATCTATTTCTCTATTGCATGTCCTCCTGCACTTTCTTTTCCTCCCCAGTTTGCACAGAGGATTTCATTCTTAGTCTAATTGTTAGTGAATTGTTAGTGAATTCGTTTAACCAGACAATCAAATTGCTGTCTGCCACTTATGAGCTAAACTTAGTTTCTGCAATAAGCCTGACAATCTTTGCTACAATAGCAGAAGCCTCTTGTGGAATGTCTTAGTGTTAATAATGTGCTGATGCTCTTTATTATGTGTGTATCTTCTGCTAATAAAAGCTTGAGCTTAAATTGAAAGTTGAACCCCAGACTAAGTCTTATGAAATAATGATTGATAGATTAATGTTAAAATCCTTGAAAAGGTAATGAGCATGCTCTCCAGGGCATAAATGTTAAGTACAAGCAATGAGGCTGGGATAAGTATTTGCTAATTGAAATGAACACTGTATAAACTAAATGTAGTGTTTGTTGGCCAGAGGTGACTTGTATATATACTTCATTCTACAGAATGGTTAAGAAGGCTGCAAGTTTTGAACTGGAGTCCAGAAAAAACTTGATTGCCCAATGTCTTACAGAAATGAAGGGTTTTTTTTTCAAAGCATTAATTTAAATAGCTGCTGAAAAAGCAACTTCATTGTATTCTGTACTTAAAAGGGCTTGTAGCCATGCCACAGCTGTCAATGTTTATATCTTATCTGAAACAGAAAACTAGGGAAGGTAAATAAATTAACAACTCAATGTGGCTATATGTTATCTAGTTCTCTTTTCCTCCTGCTATAGCTGTTGGGCAACAGTTTCTGAAAGTAATAAACTAGTATTATGGGCTTTTGACTTAGTACTGTATTTCATTATGATGCTGCTGTTTACTGGGCATTCCAGGCCTTTCTGGGCAATGTATTGCTGAAAACATAATTAAGGAGAAGGCCCAGTTCACTCTAATATACACCCTGCTAGTTCTGACTCTGTGTTTTTGTTCCATTTTCTTCTTTCCTCATATTCTGCTGTTGTTAGGGATAACAACTAATCATTAGCACAATGCAAATTTAGTGTATTAATGATTCAGTATTCAAGATAGGTAAATTTGTCTTACTTTTGAGTTCCATTCTTTCAAGGACAATTTTGATATTTTCTTTAAAAGTCCACCAAAGTAGAAGACAGTCTTACACTTTAAGATGCTCAGTTGATTAGCAGCTTCATAAAATGGAAAGAAGTTCAGAAAAAATACAATTTTCAGCTGCAAGAAATTAATTTCTACCGCAATAGTAAATAGGAAGTAACTCCCTTGAGAGGTGGTGCAGAAAGGGGCCAGAGGGCAGACATGATACAGGTTGAATTATGTGCATGATGCAAAGATGGGCATGGAAAGGGCAGAAGAATACCAGAATTATTCACAGTTAAGTGATTTTTTTTTAACTTGTGAGTTTTTTCCTTTTATAAATAAATACTATATAGTAGAGGTGATTTTTGTAAAACATGATAGTCATATTCTTCTAGCAGATGAAATGGCTTTTTTTTTTTTAAGAGCTGGCTTTGTGAAACCCTGACACATAGTGTATTTCAGAACTGTGAAATTGTTAATGTCACACTAGGACTGTGTACTGCACTCTCATGAGTGCAGAAAGAAAGTAGGTTTCTTTCTGCTCTCATGCAGCTCAGTTAGGTTATATCACCAACTGTTCCCAAAGATATGTTTGTGCTGTCAGTCTGTTTCAAAACTTCATTGCAGAAAAAGAAATAGATATAACTCAGAACTAGGTAGCACTTGTTGAAGCAAATCCTAAAACAAGTGCCCCACTATCCAGCATGGTATCTCTCTACAATTTTTTTTTCTGCACTGTAGAATCAGAGCATCTTAATTCCTTACCCATTCTATATTAAATTATTGTATTATGAATAAATACCTATATTTGTGTTAATGGCAACAAAATTGTACTTTATCTTGCTACTGATATTTGGAATCCACCCTTTTGATAGAATATGGCATTGTATGGTAAATCCATGTAACCAGGCAAGCAGTGCAGGAAACCTGGAGACTGAAGCTTCAGCTGGAAGGACACAAAAACATGATGGACAACTTATCTCTACATCTATTAGTCTGGTGCAACAGCAGAACCACTGGCTGCTTAAGCTATTCTATTTCAATAATAGAATTGAAATTGTGACTATTAGCTGAATGGGTAAATTAGATTGTTGTGAGGCTGTGGAGGAAACATGTTTCCTAGTGGTCAAGGGGAGGCCAATTGTTAGGTGCTTGCCTGGGTAACCTGTAGTGCTTGTCTCTTTCCTTAAGGAATTCTGTCATGTTCATGCTTACCATAACTTTAAGCTGAAATTTTTATTTATTTCCCATTGAGAATACTAAACCAATCAATTTAGTGTTTTTCTTTCCTTTTTTTCCTGTCCCCATCTGTTGTGTTTTGTTTTTTTCCTCACAATTAACTGTGGATGTTATAAATATCTTTTGAGTGCTCTCCTAGAGACCTTTAGTAGTTTAATGTTTTTGAGGCTTTTCTTGGTTAATACCCTTTGCATTCCCAGTGATAAATTTCCAATTGATGAGTTTCCCACTGACAAATTTTCAGTTTTTATTAACTACATCTTCCCTGGTGCTTAGTGTAACAGAGAGTTGGTATTTTGTCAGAACAGACTCGGACAGGTTTAAGATGCGTTTTCATCAACACCTGACTGTGTTTGCCAATTATTTTCTCTGTAATCGGATTTCAGTTGTGCACAATCTTAAGCTAAAAGTGAAAACCAGGGCTTTAAAGCTCAAAAAACCCTCAAGGACTCTTCCTAAACTTCAAATAGCTGTCATAAAATAACTTTTTAAAAAAACATTAACCATTATATTTTTCTGTTTTTAAAAACAGGTGAACCAAGAGTGATATTTCCCGAATACATTTGCTTGTTCTTCCAGATAGGAGATAAATGTGTTAAGCTGGCAAAGTGATTCTGGTAAGATTTTTTTTGCTACTTCTGCACTGATATTATATGTATAAGTGTTTGCAGTTTTGCTACTAGACGGAGCTTTCTGAACCATTAGTGCAAACAGACTCGCTTTTACTTCCAAGGTCTTATTTTTTACCTAATAATTACACATTAATCCATCTGTTATATTTAAATGTTACATTGAAAATTATTTTGCTTTTTTTTTTCACATTCCATGCTTGGATATGATGAAAGTATTTGACTTTTGAAGCTTTTACTTCAGTTGTTTATACAGAAATAGGAGTTAAATTTGCTGTAGCACTCATTAAATTAGGTTTATGTGGATTAAATGGTTATTAAATGGTTAAATGGCTGTTTCCATAGCTACCATCACTGATTATTGTTTTTGTTTTGCTTTCTTCTGTGATTCTCTCAGAGTTTTCTACAGCTGAGTCTTGCATTTTATGTCTTGTTTGAGTTAAATGTTTCTCCTTGTACTACTGCTGAGCATCCAAAGCAAAATTAATCACTCTGGGAAGCAGAACCAATATTTTTGGTATTTCCTCCTGAACAATTGCAGCAGAATCGTCTCTTGAATTCAGCACACACTTGTAATGACTGCTACCCACACAGTTGTGCCAGAAGGGAAACACTGTCTGGCTTAATTGTAAATCTAAAACATTGTGCTTTTGCAATTCCCAAAATTATCTGAACTCAGTAATTTTTTTCTTTTCCCCCTGAAACAATCTGCATACTGTTGGAATAAATAACATGGTGTTGTTCAAATGAACTGTTAAAGAGCATGTTTTCTGTATGATGTTGTGTAAGTGCTGTGTGTTTTGCCCTTATGCTTCAGGTCAAGTAGCTTTTAGTAGCTGACAAACGTTGAAGCTTGCATAGAGGTTACAAAAAAAAGCTGGAACAATGTAATTAACTTTCATTTATGTAGTGGAAGGGAATGCTCTGTTGCAGGCTTCTACTTGTTATATTTATGAAATCAGTGTTTGGGGTCCTGGACTGTTAGCTAAAGTTTCACTGAGATTCTCTAATTTTGTTCTTTTCTTTCCCTTCTACCCTACATGGGTGTATTGATTCCTCAGTTCAACAGTCTTTTGGAGAGGGTGAGATATAGGGAAGAAGTGCTCCCTTCTTTCCCTGTCTTTTGTCTATAAGGTATGTGTTTTTTGATGGAGCTAATTTCTATCCTTTTCTGTACTTACAGCTCAGACATGAGCAGTGCCAGTAACTCACTGGCACGGGAATTTTTGACTGATGTCAACAGACTGTGCAATGCAGTGGTACAGAGGACAGAAGCCAAGGAAGATGAAGAAGAAGAAACTCATATGGCAGCACTGGGACAATACTTAGTTCAAGGACGTGGGTTTATTTTGCTTACCACTCTGAACTCAATAATTGATCAGGTAGTAGCTTTTCTTGAGTGGTTACAATTTTTGTATTGAGCTTTGACTGCGTGGGTTTGTCTGGCTTACATTGTTCTTGGTGCTGGTTTTCTTTCCCTTTTGTGGAGAGTGCATGAGTTAACTGGGAAGACTAGAAACTCAAAAAGATATGTTGTAGTTGCCTTCTGTCCTTCAGCAGGAGGAGAAAATGGAAAACTAGATAATCACAGTCCTGTTTGCCAGCTCATGTTTGACTAAGGCATGTAGGTGGGTGGAAGGAGACTTCATTTGACCTGCATGACCCAGGACCATGTAAAGTGCCAAAATGCTTGAGTCAGCTTTTTGTGTTCAAAAGTTATTGATCTTTAGGACTGAAACCGTTCTGATAGTGCTGCCAAGTATCCCATAAAAGAATTGTGTTTGAATTCTGTGCTTTCTACTGTTCTTCCCTGCACTGAAGTTCTTAGGATGTAAGTCATAGAATCCCAGTAGGAGTGGAGGTTTTTTTAGGGGCCATTCTGTGGTTTTGATTTTTTTTGCTGTTACATTTTTGGAACAAAGTTTCAAACTTATCTGGGGCTTCACGTTGACTTTTTAAAATCACTAAGTTTTGTGCTTTTGACTTTTCTGATTTTCTTTCTTGAGTTATTCTTTCTACAAGGGGGTTTAGGAGAGCTTTTTGCAGAGGTGTAATAAATATCTTGGATGCTTTCTGATTGGCTCTAGTTAATGATTGTAGCACTCTTTGTAGTTAGGTCATTTTTTCAGCACTTAAAACAGCAGAATGGCATAGAGAACTAAATGCTGAATTGCTTGGTAAAATAAAGAAGGTTAATCTATTCTTTTAAAGTACGAGATCTTTTGTTTTTATTTTGCTCCTAACATAGGAGCTGACATGTCGAGAAGAACTTCTGACCCTCCTCCTGTCCCTTCTGCCATTGGTTTGGAAAATCCCTGTCCAGGAAGAAAAAGCAATAGGTATGTTTTATCACTTACAGTATTAAGCACTTTAAAAAAGTGATGTGCGTTTTACTACAGAGCCTAAGACTCTGTGCTAAAGAGTAGCTCATTGTAGTACATATCCTCAGACATGGAATGAGGATGTGGATTCTGCAGATCTGCAGACAATTTAAATTCCAAAAATACCAAAAAATCGTGTAGAGAAGGTAAAGGCTTTTGGTCAGTGTGAAAAGCAGTGCTTTTGTTGCTGTGTAAAAACTGAACGAGGAAATGACAGTGATCTGAGTCAGATTTTTTTGCTTCATTTTGGGCTCTTACATTTGTCTGATGCATTCTTTTCCATACTAGAGGATAAAACAAAGAGAATGAAGTAAATGAAATTATGTGTTTGAGAGAGTTTCTAAAGATTCATACCCAAAGCTCTTCCAGGGTTTTTTTTGCTATTTGAAACTCCTCCAAACAGAAGGCCTTTGTAAATGTTTGTAGACTTGGGGTCTTTAAAGGACCAGTTTCATAGAAGTTTTATATAATAAGCTTTCCTGCTTGCTCAGTTTTATCATTCTTTCATGCTTCTGTAAGCATGATGGAATTAAAGAAATGTTTTGGTTATTCTGTGGCAGCTTAGTGGCTTTTCCAGGGTTAGTTTAAAAGGCTGTTGTATAAGTAGGTTTTAAGATGTTGTGGTTTATACACTACATAATGCACAGCTTTTACTTCTATTAATTACCCTCTCTTACTACTGAAAGAATAAGCATGATGTATCTGGTTGTGCACAAAGCAGTTGAGTTTTTTATTGGACTTAAATGAGTTCCCCTATAGTAGACAGCTTTTTTCTTTCTGTGCAGGTAATATCCTTTGTTTGATAAAGGACTCCTGATTAATTTCCTGCCTTTAAAGCAGATGATGTTTCTTCCCTAATTATCACAACTATGACTTTTGAAACTGCATGGCACAGTCATGCTTGTACATGGAAACATCTTTTCTTTCATCTTAAATAATGTTTATAGCTATTATGTGGGCTTCTGGGGCTTTGGGTGGGGAGGGTTGTTGTTGTTAACTATGATGTTTTTCTAAATACCAAATTTGCAGGGTGGAGGACACTTGCAGTTGTTTTATGGTAATTATTTTACTGCCCAAAGCATCCAGTTACGGTTCTGTCACTGCTTAAAAATACCAATGGACTTAATCCAAGGACATTCAGAGTTGTTTCTCTGCTTGCTTTTCTGATAGTTTAATCAGAGCTTACTGATACAAATGAAGCAGTACTACTTCTAGTTTTTTCTTCAAAATGTTCTTGTCCATTGAATCAGATTTAAATTTTATACTGAAAGTGTAAAAAAAAAAATTATAATTGAAGGTGGAGGTTTTTGTCTTAGCTTTTGTAGGAATATTTAGGACCCTAAGCATTATTCCTGTCTCTCTTTTCCCTATTTTAAAATCCCCTGCTTTTATTTCTGCTGCTTGTTTGGAATAATTAAAGCTGAAGTAAAAAGACTGGGGTCTGTATACTTGAAGATTTGCATTGATAATAAGTAGAGGAATTTATTTTTTCTATTACCACTAGTACACTGGCAGTGTCCTCATGCATGCTAAAAGGGCTGTGAGCTAACACACCTGGTTCCTTTAGCAGCTGACTTGCAAAGAGTGACACTGGAACATCAAGTTAAAAAGACCTTTCTTCCTCCCTTTAGTTTGCTTATCAAAAAGTCCTTACACCTACCTTGATGGTAGCTTTTTTTGAGAATGTTTTTTTGAGAAAAGTTGTGCCAACAAAAAGTTTTAGGAAACCTTTTAGCACAGTTTTGTTTAACCCTAAATAGAAAATGAAATCATCTGTCTAGGATTTAAAAGTAGCCAGTACGCCCCTTAAACATGAGTTGTTGCTGCCTGTTTTATATTGAAAATGTCTGACACAGGTGCATGCAAAAACGTGACCTATTAAGATACAAATTTGCTATGTATTTTAGATCTGGAAGTATTTAACTATAAAATTAGGAAAAATGCTTTACATATTCTAATGTTCCTTTAATATTATTTTGTTATTTTTCTGTTTCAACAGATTTTAATATACCCTTTACAGTAGACATATGCCTGACCAAAGAGAATAATACAAGTTCCGTGAAACCTACTCAGGAAAAACTAAACTTAGATGGAAGCGCTCATTCATCTCTTCAGGCTTCTGTAAAGCTCAGTCTTCGATCTCGAAAAAGCGGCCGTCTGCGCAAAACCACGCACCGCTACTCCGTGCGAGATGCGAGGCGGTCCCAGCTGTCCACGTCAGATTCCGAAGGCAATTCTGATGAAAAGACTGCTGTAATAACAAAACACAGACGCTCCCAGTTACTGCAGCCCTTTTTAACCTCTTCTGTTAGGGACAGCTACCCTGGAGGTAGAAGTGACTGCCGACCTCCTGAAGTGGTACCAGGTTCTAATACGGCTGCCCCTAATCTAGAAAGTTCCAGCAACGTTATTCTAGCACATGAGATTTTGAATGAACCAGCTGCAGGAACTTCTGAGAGCAGCATGGATAACTCTCCTTTTGACTTATGCCATGTCTTACTGTCTCTCCTAGAGAAAGTGTGCAAATTTGATATTACTTTGAATCACAGCTCTGCTCTTTCAGCGAGTGTCGTGCCCACACTGACAGAATTCTTGTCAGGATTTGGAGACTCCTGCAATGTAAGTAGCAACACAGAAAATGAAGTTGTTTCTGCAGGGTGGACAGAAGAACCAGTGGCTCTGATCCAAAGGATGCTTTTTCGAACAGTGCTACATCTTATGTCTTTAGACATTAGCAATACAGAAACAATGCCTGACAATTTACGAAGAAATTTAACAGACTTACTTAAAGCAGCATTAAAAATCAGAATTTGCTTGGAAAAGCAACCTGGTCCTTTTGCTCCAGGATACAAGAGAACACTACAGGAGCTGGCTCAGGATGATTATATATTTTCAAGATACCGTCACAGAGCCTTGCTTCTACCTGAGGTTATAGAAGGGGTCTTGCAGATTTTGATCTGCTGCCTACAAAGTGCAGCCTCCAATCCATTCTACTTTAGCCAAGCTATAGATCTGGTTCATGAGTTCATACAGCAGCAGGGATTTAAGCTGTTTGAAGTAACGGTGCTTCAAATGGAATGGCTGTGTATGAAGAATGAGGGAGTACCTGGGGAAGCCTCAGAGCATCTGAAAGCCCTGATTAACAGCATCATGAAAATAATCAGCACTGTCAAAAAAGTGAAATCAGAGCAGCTCCATCAATCGATGTGTACAAGAAAGCGGCACAGACGATGTGAGTACTCTCACTTCATGAATCACCACAGAGATCTCTCTGGACTTTCTGTATCTGCTTTTAAAAACCAAGCTTCCAAAAACCCTTTTGAAACTGCTGATGGAGAAGTTGATTATCCCGAGAGATGCTGTTGCATTGCCGTTTGTGCACACCAGTGTTTGCACTTGTTGCAGCAAGTTTCTTTGAGCAGTACCTGTGCTGAGATTCTCTCAGGTGTCCATAATGTAGGAATATGTTGTTGTATGGACCCAAAGTCTGTGATTGTCCCATTGCTCCATGCTTCCAAGTTGCCAATATTAAAAAATTTTCAACAGCACATACTGAACATCCTTAACAAATTTATATTGGATCAACTGGGTGGAGCAGAAGTCTCTCAAAAAATTATACAGGCATCATGCAATATATGTACTGTTGACTGTGATCAGCTCGCTCAGCTGGAAGATGCCTTGCAGGGCAGCTCCAGTGATGCCAGTCCCACATCTAGTTCCTCTTGCAGAGTTCAGGGAATACTGCCTAGCACTGGATCTGAAGATATGTTGTTGAGATGGCGTGCACTGGAGGCTTATCAGGACATCATTTTTGAAGAAGACAAGCTACGTGGCGCACAAATCGCCAGCCATATTTGCCACTTAATTCAAAAGGGAAATGTAGTGGTCCAATGGAAACTGTATAACTGTATCTATAATCCAGTACTTCAGAGAGGAGTTGAGCTAGCTAGCCATGCTCAACAGCAACTTGGACTAAGTACAGCTGATAAACTCATGTGCAGTTACCATAGCCAGGATTTGCCTTCTGAAGTGCTTCAGGTTTATTTGCAGATGCTCCCTGTGTTGCTAAAATCCAGGTTAGTTGATTTTCTGTTTGTTATTGGAAAGCGTGCTAATTAAATGCAGAGCTTCGTATGTATGTTACTGATCAGAATTTAAGTTTTATTTGGACTGTAGGCGATGTTTGGCTGTTGCAGTAGATAATAATAAGATAAATGCTTGAGGAACAGGATACTTAGGAAGCCTAGATTCATAAACCATAGGAAGTGAGGGCTCTCTACCCATGAGTTATGGTCTTTAACAAGCCAAATTCTGTAGCAATAAATAAAATCTTTGTCCAGTGTGACGTTCTCTCTGCCTCTTCATTCCTTGTTCTAAAATTAGTCAGGAATGTTAAACAGATTGATGTGTCATTTTTCTGTGGGAATTAGAATACATAGTTTTCTGATCTGTTTCCTTTTTCCTTCTAGAATGGTCACTATAGAAACCACCTTTCAAAAATAAGTCTTGATGTTTACTTTTCCTGAAATAACTGTTTCCTAACTTAAAAAATCCTGTTCATTTAAGCATAATTTAAGAACAGAAACCAAAACAACCCCAAAACACAAAAAAGGCACAAACATTGTCCCCAGACATAAAATAGATACTTTTTATTTAATGTTAAATTGATTAAATAATTCTTTAATAAATATATGGAACTTTTTTCAGAATATGAATGTGTCCTTTTGTCGAGGAAAGATTAATTTTATTTCTCTTGGAGTCCTGAAGTAAATTTAATGGGGTTATCCAAGACAAAGAGTAGACTAGTACTCAAGTTTATGCAAAGGGATTATCTAACATAGTTTTAACTTATATCCTAACCTAAACTGTATCAGAAACTATTAATTAAAAGTGTACTTAGTGGCAAAGAGGCAAGAGAAATAAAGCTTTGATGAAGAAAAAAGTTTAAAATGTCCTATTTTTTTTATTGGCTTAAAAGTGAGAATAAATAAGTAAATGATCCATTTGATTCTAGAGTAACTTGTTTAGAGTAAATCTGATTCTGTGGGAAGGAGATGGGAGGTAAGTAAGGTGGGTATCTACAAGCAAACATAGTGTGCTGAAAACTTACAGATCCTTAACCTAAATTTTATATGAACTTAACATAATACTTGGAGAGTAGAAGAAAGGAAAAAATAGACTTGGAAGCAAATATATGGACAATTTTTTTGATATTGGACGTTCTGGCATAACAATTGCACAAAAACTTATGCTTGAAGAGTATTCTTGAATTTATCTGAAATTCATCATCCATGCAATTAGTAGACAGCTATGAATATGTCATCAAATTTATCTGAGAAGTAATCTCTCCTTTCTGGTGAAATCACTGAACAGAGAAATAAAGATCTTTACTAGCTTCAATTGCTAATAAAAATTGGGGCAAGGAAATATCACTAAAGAGAAAATGTCATAAATAAAGTTAATTAACCACCTTCAGTGTTTTGAACATCGTATTTTTTTTTGTGGTCTGCATTTTAGAGAAGTATTTGCAACATTATAGCTCACAAGAAAGTTGAGTTTTCCACTACCAGTTGGATGATGCTGAGTTAGGATCCTAGAGTGCTGCAGAGAACTTCCTCTTCCCTTTAATTGACAGTAATGTATAGCAATTGCTGACTTACATGAGTGTTTAGCTGATTTATAAGGTAACTTTCTTACGCTTTCTCTTGCAGAGTAATTAGAGACTTGTTTCTGAGTTGTAATGGAGTGAATCAAATGATTGAGTTAAATTACTTAGATGCATTAAGAAGCCATTCTTTGAAAGTGTTAGAGACTTTGATATTCTACCTTGATGATCAGCAGGAAGACCAAGTAACACCAGAACTGGAAGGACTGAACAGCGAACAAAAGGAATCTGTGTCTGACTTGCCCACTTCTCTTTGTAGCCAGCATGCTGTTTCAGAAGTTCCTCAAAGCCTGAGCAAGTTTTATGCTGGTTTGAAAGAGGCTTACCCAAGAAAGAAAAAGTTTGTGAGCCAAGACATTCACGTCAACACAATAAACCTGTTCCTCTGTGTTGCTTTTTTATGTATAAGTAAAGAAGCAGATGGTGATCTGGATTCAGCTAATGAGTGTGAAGATACATCGGGATATGATAGTACAGCTAGTGAGCCATTAGGCCACAGATTACCCTATCTGTCCCTGGAAAGCCTTACTTTGCCCTCTCTGGAACATATTCATAGGGCTGCAGATATTTGGTCCATGTGTCGTTGCATCTATTTGTATAGTTCAGTTTTCCAGAGGCAGTTCCATAGACTTGGAGGCTTTGAAGCATGCCAGAGATTACTAATCCTGATAATTCAGAAACTTGCAAAAAATAAGGAAAAGGAGCAAGAAAAGAGGGAGAGAGTATTGAGTGAAAGCAGCCGAAGTTCACATGGGAGTCCTCGAACTGAGATTCTCAGCAAGGATGACTCTGTTCAGCTGGCTAAAAGCAGAGAGATGATGCAATTGGAGCTTGATAGTTCTGGCAGTCCTGCTGGTGCTGAGCAGCTGTTGCCTGACTCTGTCTCCTGTGACAGTGCTCTGAGTATGGAACACACTTTGGTTACTTCAGCTTCCAATCTTGAAGGGGTAAGGACTTCTGCAACAGAAGAGACTGAGTGGGCAATTCAAGGCATCAGACTTCTAGAAGCTCTGCTGACCATCTGTCTACACAGTGCAAGCACCATGCAGCAGAAGACAGAAGTGGAGACGTTTCACCAGGTACTGTGCAACTTCCCTAGCTTCCTTTGCTCATATTTGTTCCATACAGTATTTTAACAGTAATTCAGTTAAAAATTCTTCTAGGGAGGTAAAAACTTGATGCAGTTTTTATAGTACCACATTTTGTATAGTATTGAAAGTGTACAACTAAATAAAGAGCTTAGTAGCCCGAGTAGTCATCTGCTTAAGCAGTACTCTGTAGAAAGAGTGATCAGTGGAGAATGTGTGTGAAAGGAATGCTGCTGGAAAGCTGTGTAGGCAAGAAGTCATCATTATACCCAATGATTAGCATTGTTTTTTGAGGATGGTTCTGAGAAGAGCATGGTGCTTTGTGGAAGGATTACTGAAGGGCACAGATACTAAAAGGACACCTGAAAAATTATTCCTTATGCCTTAAAGGTGGAGTAATTCAGTGTTCCACAAGAAGTTGTTCATTCACAGAAGATACTTTTACTTTTCTTTAATGTTTTAATTACTATCTTAAATTTTACTTGGCAATTTGTTGCAAAGCATGAGACATTAAGTACAGGAAAGAACTGGAAACTGGAGTTCTGTCTTGAACATTCACTGTTTTTATGATCTTGGATATGTCATCCTGTCTTGTTAACTACTAGTAATGTTGTGGTGTGGTTTGAATGCACAGCATACCTGAAACTGTTTCAAAGATGTTTATTTTTGAAACAGCACTTTCACCTGCAAATTTCAGATTACAGTATTTTGCCAGTTTTTTTCAGTGTGCAGGTTCCAATGAAATCTGTCATGACATATAGGGTGAATCTTTCTTATTTTGAGAGACTGGATGAATTCTGATGGTTTTAGATGAGAAGTCAGATTAGTGTAGGTGGAAAGAGAAACTCTTAAATGAAAGCACTAGACTATTTCTGTTAGCTAGAAATGGTAACACAAACCAAAATGTTTTTCTCTCCCAAAACACAGAATACCTGTGTGGATGATATCCTACTTGAAATAAGAGAGCAGCTTGCTCAGTCAAAAGTGATAGAAACTGACTTGGCAAAGCCTCTGTTTGATTCACTGCTTCGTGTTGCGTTGGGCACTTTTTCTGCTGATCTGGATCATTCTGAAGAAAAAATTGAAAAGGTATGAAGCACCAGCTAAACAGTCTAATTCTGAGTAATGCAAGATTTTCTCAAATTTTTTTCTCTTGGTCTTTTTTAACTTGATAAGAAATGTTTATATGTGTTTGATTATTGTGAGAGTTGAGGATGAAATCTCTGCTTGTCATACGCAAGTGGAACGCCGTTTATTGATACGGTCTCCACAATTACTGCTCAGAAATGAGTCATGCCCCAGAAAGTAGCAAGCTCAGTCAACCTGATGTTCTCTTTACTCTTTTGTCTCACAACAGTGCAATGAGCTCTTAAAGGAAGAGCTTCAAATGAGAATGTTGAGTGACCTTATTGGCTGTAGACATTTTCATCTCCGTGTGAATGTCAAGGTGCATGCTGATGGTGATAGTGATTTAGAAACACCGTTTTAATGCTGCTTACTAAAACATTGATCAGGTAGTTAGTAAGAAAAATCCCTCTTTGCAGATTCAGTTTTTTACAAAATAATTAAGTATTTTTAACCTATCTCAAGTTTCTTGGAAGTGTATGATTAATTTGTTTCTTTTCCCAATGGGCTTGGGGAAAATAGGCCTTTGGACAGTTCTAAATTATTTGTTTTTCTGATCCAAAGATTTTTTTTCTGACCAATGATAGTCTATTTGGTTGTATTGCACAGATCCACTACACTGAGAAGGAGCCTGTGTCACAACCTGGAGAAATTTCTGAAGAAACTGAAGAATCACAATGCTGTAGTCTTAAACCTTTTGCTGAAGAGGAAGGATATGAAGCAGATAGTGAAAGTAACCCTGATGATAGTGAAACCAAGAATGAAGGTAAATGGGAACTTTCTGAATATAAAAAGCTGTCTTTACGATATAGCAAGGCTTGTTTGTCTTTTGTGATGTACCAAAACAGTGCAAGCACCTTTAACAGATAGAAATAATTAATTTTATTTACTTCCAGTAGGATGGAGTTACCCATGCACAGGTGATAAATATTCTTACAGAGTGTTGCAGAAATTGTTCTCTCTTGATTGTTTTGGTTTATGTGACTCTTGCTCCAAAGTCATGTTACTCAAATGTGTTATTGTGATCTAGAAACTCCAGAGATATGTATCAGTAGTTTGTTTGAAAATCAGTGCTCAATTTTTTTTTGTCTTTGAAATTGTAACCATCTGGTGAAAATTAAATAGTCTAATTGTGTTGTAGAATACCAGATTGAAAGGGACCCCAAGGATCATCACGTCCAACCTTTTTTCGGAAAATTACTGTCTAGACAAGAGAGCCCGGCACCTTGTCCATCTGAATCTAAAGTGCCCAATGTACCACTTCCCTGGGGAGATTTACTCCAGTGTCTGATTTCTCATTAGGGAAATATTTCTCCTTGTGTCTATATGGAATTTCCCCAGAAGTAACATGTACCCATTACTCTTTGCTTTGTCTGTGTGACTCTTTGGAAAAATGGAGTCTACCTGCTTTGTAGACATCTTTTAAATGGTGATAAGATGTCCTCCAAACTGCTTTTTCTCAAGGCTGAGCCAGCCCAGTTCTCTCACCCTTTCATCTCATCTTTTTGGTGTAGTGGGGACAAAAACTGAACACAGTATTCCAGGTGTGGCCTGACAAGCACTGAATAGAGTGGGATAAAGGTTTTTTTATCCCTGTTGATGATGTCCTTGTAGATGAAGCCCTCCTCCATGTGGTTTTCTTTGCCACAGCAGCACATGCTCATACTGAGCTTGCTGTCCACTGGGACCCCAGCTCTCCAGCCAGGCAGATCCCAGCCTGTGCTGCACTCCTGGGTTCTATTTTCCTGTGTGCAGACATTTACATTTGTCCTTGCTGAGCTTCACAAGGCACTTGTAAGCCCCCTCTTACAGCTTATCCAGGTTTTCCTGCAGGATGGCTCTCCCTTCCCATGTGTTCACTTCCCCACTCAGTTTGGTATTGGCAAACTCCATCAGGGTGGAGTGATCCCATCACACAGATCACTCAGGAAGTATTAAACAGTGCTGGGCCCAATATCAATCCCTGGGGACCCCACTGGTGGCAGGATCCAGTTTAAAAAGGATTTACTCCCTCTGTGTGTGTCCAGGCAGTCAGTGCCCAAGCACTGCACAGACCCCTTGTCTCCACCCTAATACCTCAGTTTCTCTGGGAGGACCCTGTGGGAAACTTTGAAAAGCCTTGGAGAAATCCAGGTAGATATTCACTGCTCATTCCATGTCAACCCAGCAGGTTTCTTGCTTGTGGAAGGCAATCAGGTTTGTCAAGCACTGTTTGGCTTTTCCCAATCACATGCTTCATTTGACTTGATAGTCCCTTTGTTATACAGCATATCTCTTTATTCTAAAAAAATTGATATGCACATGTCTTGCTGTATTCTGTTTGTGTAATTAATTTTAAACATGAATTCTCTTTAATTTCTTCCTTTGTGCTGAGCACACCTGGGTGCTTATGTTCTGAGATTAGCATGAGCAGCAACAGCCCTTAATAGAACTGCATCAAACTGCTGCTGTTTACCTTTGGGACTAGGCTTTATCAATAGATTTATAACATTTTAAAAACATTTCTGAATAAAAAAAAATAATCATAACTACTTCCATGATACATTTGCATGTAACATATGCCTGTACCAAGTAATTTTAAGTAATGTATTTTCAAGTCTGTCCAAAATGTAACTGGGGAGGCTTACATGTTTGGGTTTTCTTTCTTTGATTGTCATGCAGATATTCTGTCATGTGCATTTTCAGAGTTAAATAACAAATTGCTTCCTCCAGCCTTTTAATATGAAATTATTTAAATTTATCTCCTTCCTTGACAGGCTCAAGGTTTCTGTAGAAGCTTGGGGCTCTGTTACAATGATTTTACTGTTGTGTTTCATGAACAGCATATTTTGCCATTACTGTGTGTGTCCAGTTCCCAGGAAATGAAGCCAGGTAGTTTAAGACCATGTAATGGGAGAAACAGCATCCTTGCCCTTCTATGTTAGCAGGAAAATAGAAAAATCTGAAGCAGAATATAAAATCATGCTAATTTCTGAAAACTGCTTATAACCTAGTGACTATTTTTGGTTTGTACCTATGAGAAGTTTGGAGCTATGTCCTTGGATGTTCTGCTTAAATCTTGCAAACTATATTCTGCTGAGTAAGTTTCAGTAAGACACATGTGGTTTCTTTCTAGGAGCAGACACCAAGGCAGAACCAGGATGTACTGGTGCTTCAGGTTATTTTAATGGTCTAGAAAACATCAGTCAAGGAGAATTAATGTATCCTGAAATCTGCATGTTAGAATTAAACTTGCTGTCAACTGGTAATGCAAGTTTAGATGTGCTTGCTCATGTATTCCAAAGCTGCCTGAATATCATCAACCAGAAGGAGAGAAATGCTGCTGTCCTTATAGAACAGGTAAAAATGTTATTAACAGAGGCAACAGTTTAGCAGTTACGTATCTTCAATTTCATCGTGCCTATTAGAGTGAGTTTGAATATTCTCTTTTTATGTGAGATTGGGACATGGGATTTAATAAGATGTGAAACAATGTAAATGACTGATATTGTCAACTGCCCTGCATTTAAGTTACCAGGGGCTAAGTAATTTTTTTGAAAGGTATTTGTCCCACAAAGCTTTTGAGTTTTTCAGGGCTTTTTTTTATCAAGGCTGTTCAATCCTGAAACATAGATTTGATGAGTGTCAGGGCCTTAAGAAAAAAGGACAGATACCTGCTTGTATGTATGTAATATGTAAGCATTCTAAACTTTTTATTGAATATGTACTTTTAGAAACTGTGAGCCATGTACCTCAAAAATATTCCATGCTTTTTTTTCTTCATAAGTTTGTATTAGAAGTTAATTGTGCAAATGGTCATGCCCAGATCCTTTGGAGTTTCTGATAGTTACCTTTCTTAACAACTGAATTGAGTATCCCCCCTGCAAAAGATAATTGGAAATTCAAAATCTCTTCTGCAACTGGACTGTACAGAGCACAAAAGATTGTTCATTGGCAAATATAAAAACAATCTGTAATTTCAAATAATTTGAATTATCATTAAAATCAATAATAGGCAGAAATTGATTAAAAGAATTTATTTCTTAGATCTTTGAGCTGCTGTATATTCTTCAGATATATTTATTCTACCTATTCTTTTCAACAGGGAGCTGTTAAACACCTTTTGGGAGGATTTCTGAACATATTGACACAAACAGAATCTAGTTTTCATGGTAAGTTAAAGAGCCAAGTAACTTAAATATTGGTTTTTAAAATTTGGCGTATACACAGTCAAACAGTGCAAATGCCAAATTGACAAAGGAAATTCATTGGTGTGTGAATTTATGCAGCTGCTTTTTTAACTTGTAAGAAACCTGCCCAACTTTAGTGTAAATATAGGATTACTACACATAGGAGGTAGTAGAAATAAGTTAAAGAAATACTGGCAGATCTGAAAATGATAGTTGAAACCATAAATACTAGTGTGACAGTGTTAAACATTGCTTGGAAAAAACAGCAGCTGATGAATTCTCATTCCATCACAACACAAGTCTGTGTTTCCAATTTCTTTGTAACCCAGATCTTGATGATGCCTTGAGTTTTATTTCTAACTGGAAAGCAGCTAGCTAATCCAAGAATGAGGAAGCAGATGAAGTGATTGCTCTAAGGTAGCTTCACATCATGGGGGTGCTTCACGACAGGAGGTGATGTAAACCCATCCCAGGACTTGGATCTATGGTGGCTTTGCAGGGAGCGCCTTTACAAGGCAGACACTTGGTTCTCAGGCTTTGACCCCATTTTGCAAACCTGGGACAAAGTTTAGCATAGCCCTGATTGATTCAACAAAATTCTGAATGATAGTGTCAGGAAGTACTGTTGGATTTCTCTAGAATTCATCTTGTAATCGTTATTGCTTCCTTAATTTGAAATGTTTTTGAAAAACCTTTTGTATTCCAAATTAATCCTTTCCCATAATTATATAGAATATGAATTTTTAAAGCTTAAAGAAAATCCATTTAAACAATGTTGTTGTCTCCTTATTTTTAGCATGTCAGATGGTGCTGGTAGATCTGCTAGTTTCCTTGATGAGTTCACAGACCTGTTCAGAAGAGCTAACTCTTCTTCTGAGGATATTTTTGGAGAAGACACCTTGTACGGTATGTATGGAGCAGCACATAGCAAAATTCAGACATCTAATGAGAAAAATTAAGCAGAAAGAAAATCCTTTTGTGTCCAAGAAATTTTGGGAAATGAGGAGATGAACAGCAATGTTTGAACTGATCAGAGTAAATAAAATTTGGGTGTAGGAAAAGTTCCTTCTCAAAAGTGGGAAAGGAAAGAGGAGATGAGAAGGGTTTTGAAGGGTGTGTGGGTCCTGGGAATTCTTCAGTACAAGAAACCAAGAATCCTCTCAAGGAGACTGACATTGTGATTATGGATGACAGAACAATAATACTGTAACATCTGAAGCATTCCTTTAAAGTTATGAGGCATCTCACTATTTTGAGAATGCTTTAGCAGTAGGAATTACTTTCAAAAGTGTCTTAAGTTGATTGGTGTGATGCTGGAATCTACTGCTTGTGTGGGATACACTGCTGAAATAATTCTGTTGGTTTCTGTGAGAGTCTGTAGAAAAATACAAGTGGAAGGAAAAAAAAGTAATAACTGTGCAGTGTGCAAAAAATTAATGTGCAGTGTGAAAAAATACCAAACCAAAGAGTCACAGCTCAGTTTTTCAATGGTAGCTTTTAATTATCAGACAAACAAGAAACTTTCTGGTTTAAAGGTTCAACTAGTTTTGTTGCTCATTTTGCAATAACAAAGTCATGGCCTGTATGTGCTTTCTTAACCAGCCTCAAAACACAGGGTAAAATGTGCAGTCTTTTTATGCACGTAACAGAAGTGAGGTAAGATTGTGCAGTGACCACCTGCTGTGTTTTAGCTGATTACTAAGCATGGTAAATTGAAGTCTCATCTGCCCAGACTAAATCCCCAAACCTTTTTTGGACCAAAGTCTACTAAGTTGCTACCTGATGCTTTGCCAATGTGTGTAGGTTTGGATAGATGAGCTCACTTCTCTTGGAAAAACATGAATCCAAGTTTAAATGAGGAGTAAGCTTCTATTTAGCTGTATGATACTTGACTACACAGTGTAAACTTTTGTGGCTGTTGTGGCTTTTTTTCTCATTTATTTGTTTTATTTCTTCTAGGAGGTACTACTCAAGGGTGTATTGAAGATTGTAGACACTAATATTTATATGAATCCATTACAATACCTTTCCTTTCCTTTGCTGAACGGCACAAATTTGAGTAGCAGTTCCTCACAAAAATGTGCTGGCAGTTCCAGCAATAAAAATGCTGGATTACCAAAAAGAGCAAAATTGTCACAGAGTAAGAAAGAGGCAGATGGTGAAAACTTGAGTCACCAGCTACTTTCTTCTTGGCATGTAGCCCCAATTCACTTGCCTTTAGTTGGGCAAAACTGTTGGCCACACATGTCTGATGGCTTCAGTGTCTCACTGTGGTTTCGTCTGGAATATGCTCATGAAACAGAAAATTCAGCAGAAAAGGGGAAAAAAGTCAAGAGGAGAAGCAGACTCATAGCTGTAAGAGAGAACAGTTTTGACAGCACAGGTGAGAATATAGTGCTTTGTTTTGACTTAGGTGGCACTGAAGGATTCTGATTACAAATGTTACTAATCTATGTACTGTATACGAAAGTTTGAAATTTTATGCTTGATGTTAAACAGCAGTGGTAGTATTTTCTGATTTTTTTTTTATTACTACTATACCACATACTTAGAGATACATTTACAACCCAATTGAATTAGATTAATGCCTGCTTCCTTAGAAATGTAGTATTTTCATTGAATTTGTAACTTCAGTGACATTTATGCTACTTCATGTTATGATGAAAATAATAAGTTCTGCAGCTGTGGTTATGGAAAGAACTACACAAGTTTATTTGATTTCATGTATTGATGATCAAGTTTCAGGCTGACTCAGTATAAATCCTCTTAACTTTCCTTCTGTGTGCACCATGTAAAGGCCAATAGCTCTACAATAATTTGTTTTTAATTTGTAGGGACTCAACTGTTCCCAAACTGTTCTAAGCAGAATTTTTTGGATTATAATTTGTAAAGGGGAAAATTCCTTATTTAAAATGTCTCCTATTCATAATGCTTGGAATACCTTTATTCTTTTATCATTCTTTTTGTATTTAAATAGGAGGGAAAACCCAACCCTGAACCTTGGAACTCACTAAAGTTGCTTTTGTTAGGTCTGTGCATTTGCTTGGTAAAGTAAGAATACTGATCATGCTTAAAGGGTAGGATGATTTGTGAAGAAAAATCTGAAGACTTCTTGGTGCACACTGATAGTTCAACATAGGAATGTAAAATGATACGTCAAAAGCATCATTTTTGGGGGAGGATATTCAGCTCAGTGCATTTATATATTACAAACAAAAACATGTAAAGTGCTGAGTTAATTTTAAGTTCTTCTATTGCTGTTTGAGATCCAGCTGTGTAAAGAGAATCGAGCTTTTTAGTCAACCCACTTAAAACAAGCAAACCTAACCACCTCAACCAAACAAAAACCAATTCTATGCAGTACCTGAACTGTTTCTTTTCACACTTGATATATGTTGCAAAAGGCATTGTTGTTGTATTATATTGTAATTGCAACATGTTTATATTTCTAGAAGAAACAAAGTCTATAGGAATGGAATATGTAAGCCTGGGAGACAAACTTGTTGAAGACGGCTGTATTCATATAATTTCACTGGGTTCCAAAGCTCTGATGATACAAGTTTGGGCAGACTTGAACACTGGAGCATTCATATTTCGGTATGGTATATTATTCCAGCAGCAGTCCTGTGGACATATTGTATTGTTACCTCTTGTAGCAACTTGCAGAGAATGCTGATGGAGAGTAGAGAACTAATTTCTATAGTAGAGACATCTTGCACACTGCCGGGGCAGCATCAAGTAAGTGTATTGGATACAGATCTACAGGTTTATCAGCTTCAAACGTTAAGCTCTGGTCTTGCGTGTTTCATGTAATCATTTATAAATAACTGCCCACAAGGTAGCAATTCAAGTTCTAATGAAATGACACAATAAATGTGAGAAGATAGAAAAGATTTTTGCAGCTGTAGGTTTTCAAACCTCAGCTGTGAAAATTGCTGCTATGTAATACTTACTGGGACAGTCTTGGTTTTAATCTTCTGAGCACATTTTAGCCCTAATTTAGTTCTCATAAGTAATCCTTAAGTATCCTTGAAATGTGTCTAAAACTGCAACTTGAGAACTCTTCACTTCAGTGTTCAAAGCATCTGCATTTTTTTCAATTAATTGAATTCAACTTTTCTCTAAAATAGAGATACCTTTATCTTAAATGTAAGCAGATTTATGCAGACAAGTTGAATAAGTAAGGTCAAAGTGTTGTGATTATTTCCCTAGCTTATGTTGAGCACTCTAAAAATAGAACTGTGATCAAAAAAGTTACCTGTCATAGTTAAGGAACTCAGTGTCAAATTAACTGAGGCCAAAATGTGCACATTTGGGGCTTAACATGCAAGTATGAAAACGCACACCCTCATTTTTCCTTTTCTGTTGTTTTCGTAGTATGTGCATGGACCCAAATGACGAGATGAAAGCTGGTTTGCTGGCACAGGCTGAATCTCCAGGGAATGTTTTCCATGTGGGCAGGTGGCAGCATTTGGCATTAAAATACCTGCAGAAGCCAGAAGGCAAGAAAAATTTCCATGGAAAGGTGTTGCTGTGGGTTTCTGGTCAGAGGTAAAGAGCACATTAGTTGTACCTAGATGCTTATCTTCTTTAGAAGATATTTTCTGGTAAAAAAAAATCAGCAATATTTTGGTGCAAACTGCAGTTAAGATTGAGTAGTCTTCTAGGAGAATAGGAGAGGGATTATGTTACACTGTTTGTAATTCTTTAGAATATTAAAGATATCCAGAATATTCATGGATTACTTTGAGAATTGACAGTTTATAGCATGGACCAGTGCAGACATCAATGTTTTTCTGCATCACAAATTGATAAGAGGCAAGTACAAGACTTTCAGTAAGATGCAAAATAAGCTATGGCATGAAGTTAGCAGTAGGCATAATATATCTGGTTGAATCCAAATTAAGGAGGTGTAGGTCAGGTACTGGCAATATTGTTGGAAGTAGGAATTAAGAGGAGTAGGAGAAAAGGCAGTCACTTTGTTCCACTGAGAAGAATGAACAGAGAAGAAGTTAAAATGTATTTCAGACAAGAACTGACGCTGAGAAGTACTACTTCCTCTGCAAAGTTAAGGTCCGTGCTCCTAAATGAGCTACCTGATACCAGGTTGAGTGGACCTGTGGCTGTATGAATTATTTGCTGGTTAGAGAAATGGGAATTTATTAAATATCCCAGTCTTTACCCTTTATTCCTTCCAAGTCCAATCTGTGAAGGCTGTGTTAAGTCTGTGCATGCTGGTATTCAATAAAGTCCAAATATGGAGATACAGGGGAAAGCAAAAAATACCACAATGTTCCCCGCATGTGTAGCTATTGAGGCCTCACTATATATAGATTTAGTTGGTAGTTTGCTAGTAGTTAGGCTCTTTCAGGAAGCTGTGACTGACCTTTACAGTCCAATCAGTCTGTTTATGTAAAGGCACATAAAGTTAATTGGATGCTTTCTGAAAGCATCAGGCTTATTGCCTGTGGCTGTGCAGCACAGCATTTCTGAAAATGTTTTCTGATACAAGCAAATCCTCAACATGGTGTTTTCCAGCATTTGTGAACCACGGTTTTCATGCTGTACATTGGCATTCTCAAAGGACTTTGACTTGTTAGGAATAGTAGAAATGATTGAAAAATTGTGTTATTTTAGAAGTTCGTATAGTGTTACATACCATTTCCTTTTTGAGGTCAGAGGAAAGAAGGAAGGAATTTCAGAGCTAGGAAAACTTGATTTCACGGTTACCCTAGATGGGACTCTATTCATCTGTCCTGTGCAGTAATGGAATGCATATATCATTATGTTATTGAGTTTTAAGGTGCCTGGAAGTTGAAGAGAACCTCAGTAATTTAGTGTTGATTACAGTATGGCTTTGCACCTACTGAATATTAAAATGAATTTTAAACCTAAGCCGAATATCTTAGATAGCAATTTTGATCAGTTCTTTGTATTTAAACTTGTTTGTTTGTATGTATTTTTAGGCAATGTGAGATCAATTTAGATTTTGCACTACCAAGGAAAACAAGTTTATCATCTGACAGTAACAAAACATTTTGCATGATTGGCCATTGCACATCATCCCAAGAAGATCTGCTTCGATTGTCGGGTAGATGGGATCTTGGAAATCTGCTTCTATTTAATGGTACTTTTGTATGCCTTTTTTTTTTGAATGACTGCTCATTTCCTCTTTCCCCTCCAAGATCAAAGGCTTATTTTAATAACTTGTTTAACATGCCAAGTTTTTACAGTAAAAACAATACACCCTCTAGCAGCATAATATATCAGAGAGAATGTAGGCAAATGTTTAAAGTATTGGATACTTACTAATGTGTTCTTCTGCCATATTTTCTTGCTTTCTGTTTAGTGCCATAATTGGCAATATTCTTAGAATTTTTTTAAATAATACCTTAGGGCAGGGGGTGGAGATAGTGATATTTGCTCTATTTTTTTTTTTTCTTAAAGCTCTCAGTCTCTTACCTGGAAATTTGATTTCACTTACCTGCTGCTAACCTGCTAGCTTCAAATTACATATTTTTATTGATTAAAAATATTAATAAAGTTAAAAAATATAAAAAGCTTAATATTAAGAAGTTAACAAACTCTGAACCACTGAATGCTCTGAGTTAAGCAGGTTTATTTCTGGAACTTGTAGTGTTACTTTGGAGATTTCTTAGGTGTATAACTCTTGTCCTTTCTTGGGAAGTCTTATCTAGTTCTTCTAGGTGTTTGCTTAATGCTGAAGGCTGAACCCTGCTGCTTTGTCACCTGGCATTTCAGATGCTGTGGCCCAGTCAGGACTACACAAGCGAGATCAGTTTGCCAGGATGTGTGGTGCACACAGGTCCTCTGTGCTTAGGTGTTTATTTGTGGGCCATAAGCAAGAAACTTGTCATAAATGTAACCTAGAGAATCTACATGATCTGGCTGCCATATGCCTGCTGTCTGCATAACTGATGTATCCAGGGAGCCCTGAATTTGCTGCCATAGATTTGTCATGTACCCACACACCAGACCTGGGTCATTCTGGATGCTTTTTTTGAGTTTGTGTTCTCAGGTTACAGATGACCCAAGATATGCTACCCAGCTACCCAGAAAGGGGAGGGAAGGTCCTTTTGATCTTCTTCCTATGGGGTTTTTTCCCTTCTGTCAGTTGTAGTGAGCTGTTGTTGCATCTTGCTTAGTTGCTGCCCGAGTCTCCAAGACAATGCAGCATGTTGTTACTATCTGTAATCTTGCTATGCTTTGTAAGCTTTGAGGAGGCTTGGATAGATGACTTCTTAATTTTAAAAAGTGAAATTTTTCAGAGATGTTGATCTTCAGTTCATGCAGGTCATTTTCCTGGCTTGGTTTCAATTGTCTTTATCACTGAATTAATCTGGCCTGTGATGTGTCAGAAGTCACTGATCCACTGTAGCTAATAGCAAGCATTAGGCTGCACTGATTGTTTTGTCATCAGAGCCTACAAAATCCAGCTGGTGATATTTCTTGTAAAGTCTCTGATCCTACTATGTATGTATGAATTTTGCTTTATTGTAAAGAGATGATTTCTGGATTATTTTCTGGATTTTAGGTGCAAATATTGGACCAGAGGAAGCATTTTACTTATACACGTGTGGCCCGGACTTCACATCTGTAATGCCTTGTAAATATGGCAAAGCATTGACTGACTGCTCAAAGTACATAAGTAAAGAGATTCTACAATGTGAAGAAATTAAGGAGCTCTTCATGACAAAAAAGGAAGTGGATGTTGGGCTTTTAATTGTAAGTTTCTACTTAATCTTTTAGAACTGATGAAGAAAGTTGGAACATGTTTCCTGCTGTCTCCCAAAGTGCTTTATTTAATCAAAGCAGAGAGGGTCAAATGCTCTTCTCATTAAGATCATTTTCTTATCATTTCTTATTTTAATGGGAGCTGAACTCCACACAGGGTGACCATTTCATCTTGCTTTAGGTTGGGTTCTGAAAATTTCTAGATGTTCCAGCATCATAGTGGATCAACATATATCATAGTGGATAAAGAGGTACCTTCAAAAGCTCTAGGATGGGTATATAGCTCTTCCCTCCATTAGTGTAAAAGTAGCCAAGAACTGCTGAATTAACCTTTTAGGACTAAAACTGAGAAGAGAAATTATGATTTTTCTGGCTTTAAGGAGCAAAAGAGTTAATCCAAATTCCTTGAAGGTTTTGGAGGAACTAGGTTTGCATCACATTTGGCTGAAAACTAATTTTTCAGCTGGCAGACACTGCTTTTCTCATCTTTCCTGACTGAAACAGCCCTGTCAGATGCAGGTGTAAATATACTTACTGCTAGAAGAAGAATAAAATAAAACTTGCTTATCAGTGAAGCCTGCTATATTCTGGGAATTCATACACTAGTAATTCCTGCTGTATGAATTGTTCCCACTAGAGGGATTTCTGATTTCATTTTGTAGCTGTAGGCAAAGGCTCATTCTGTCTGGATGTGATCCTTGTAGACAATGGTACTAAATTTTGGTTTAGAATAGGTTAAGAAGAAATGAATGGGACAAGAGCTTAACAAATCAGTCATGCAATTTATAAGCTTATTTTGCCTTACAGAACACCATATAGGCAGGGATAAGAACCATGTGCTTAAGTGATAAATTCATCTTTGCACTTTTGCATAGAGCGCAAGCTCCTTAAATTATTTCTCTAATTTAAATAACCTTCCAAATAAGATCATTTTACATTTCTATGAAAATAAGTTGCTTTCCATGGGAGCTTTGGTTTTGGTTTAAGTCTCTTCATTAATGAAACTTGTGTTGAGTTTCTCATATGGCAAAGCTGATTAAAGAACAGATTTAAAACAAAAAACTGGAGAAGATTTTAAAAAATATCAATATTTTGGACTTGCCATTTTAGAGAAGGAAACTCTTTACTCTATATGCTCATTTTATTTTATATTTGTCAGTAACTTTTTTTATGAAGAACAGTTATATAATTTGTCAGGTGAAGAGAAGGGGGTCCTTGGAGAAATTTCTTAGCATTTTCTTAATTTTCTGTGCTTTAGTTATTGCATGAGTTTACAAAGATTTGGGAATCCCGTTGCATTTTATTGTACATGCATCCACTCACTGCATGCTAATGGCAAAGTAGAAATGAACTGCCGAAGTTTTTACTTTGTTAGGCTGTTAGGTAACTTTTGTGTTTGGCTTTTTGCATCCTGGTGTGTGTGGGCGTGGGGTTTGTATTAAATTTCTAGAAAAAAATTAAACTCCTTTTTTTGTTTCCAGGAGAGTCTTGCTGTTGTTTATACCACAAGCTGTCCTGGTCAGTACACCATATATGAGCCTGTCATTAGACTGAAAGGTCAAGTGAAAACTGTACCTTCTCAGAGACCTTTCAGTTTGAAAGAAGTTCAGAGCAATGTGTTGGACCCCCATCACCTAAAAGCACTTCAGCCAGTCGAATATAAAACTCTTCAGGGTATACTACATGAAATTGGAGGCACTGGTGCATTTGTTTTCCTCTTTGCCAGGGTAAGGGGGCTGTAGGGAGATTGGTGTATGCATGTGTTCTCCCATATTAAATTTTCCTTGTATCTTGGGTAGAAAATCACATTATTCTAGCTGCCTTGCTCTTGTCTGCGTGCTGCTTTTCTGTTAAAGAGAACTTGTGGAAAATACCTGTGGCGTAAGACTGCATCATGCAGCTTGTCTTAAATTGGAAATGTAATTATAATTGTTGCATTATGGTTTTTATAATATTGCCAGTATGTAGGATGGGCTGTTACATTCTGATTTAGAAATGGGGCTTTTAAATATCAAAAGAGATTATTTTTGGGGATGTTTTAGAACTGATTATATTTTTTGTCTCTGATTTTGAGGCATCTAGATTCATTGTGTATCTTTAACCACAGAATATTCACAATGCAACTATGAATAAATATGAAACTACATGGTGTGCAAAACTTTATTTTTATTTAGTGAATAGTGAGAGTCTTTCGGTGATAACTGTTCAGCCGTGTTTAAAGGCTTATCCTAAGAAAAATTGGTATTTGAAAAATAGTAAGGCCTTAACTTAGTTACTGCTGAGCTGTGACCTGTACATGGAGAGGCTAATATTTGTGCTAACAGTCCCTGAAGTACTACAGTTAAATCAAAATTTTACCCTAGGTCTAAGACTTGTCTGATTTATATGCCTCTGGTATTGCTCTGAAAGATATGGTGAGAGTAGTAACAAATTCACATTAGATTATGGTTATAAAGACACTGCCTGTTGTAATTTCACCACTGTTAGTGAAATCTGAGGTGATAATCCTCATCCATGTTATTTTATTATATAACTTTATGCCAAGTATCTGCTATAGGTCCTGCTGAAGACTGTTTGCATCAGTAAGGCCAGCAAACAGATCAGCTGTGAGACAATACAGGTCTTATAATACAGGTGTATAAATGTGTAAGTACAGCAGAATTAACAGGTACATGTCAAGAAAACCCATAGGATCTGAAATCCCATTAATGTGAGATTTCATTCTTGTATATTTTTGGTGAAAATACTAGTTGCTCTTGGGATTAAAGAATTATAGAAAGCAAAAAGGGGAAAAGGATTCGTAGTCTTCATCTATAAAATTGCTGGTCTCTTTATGGATAAAATAAAACTTTTAATGTTTGTCATTTACAGTCATTTAGTCTAGAACTTCAGGAACCTTTTTTTGTAGCTTAAATACTTCAGAAAAATACTTTTCAGAAAAATACTTTTTCAGGGAAAACAGTTTATTCTTATTAGTGGCTCATGTATTTCACCACCTTGTGACTTTGTAGTATGGAAAGTACCTTCTACTTAAAATTTACTTAGAACAGATTTCTTTCTTAGAAAGGGATTCTTGTAATGGGACTTGTATTTCCTTAGAAGCTCATAATTTAGCACAGTAGAAATTTATCACTTCAAGTATAATAACTAAATGTACACACAGACAAATTGAAGGTTATGTACATAATCTCAAATATCTCATAATCTCTTTAGAAGAGATTTAATCCATAAGTAGTTATTTAGGAGTGCAACCAAGCTTTTTTCTACATGTTTCTCACTTAAACTGTCTTATTGAATTTGCCTTTTCCTCAGGTAGTAGAGATTAGCAGCTGTGAAGATACTCAAGCTTTAGCACTACAACTTATACTATCTTTAACAAAATACAATCAACAGAGAATACAGGAGATGGACAACTGTAATGGTTATTCTATGATTCGCCGGGTGCTAATCAAGCCAAAATGCATTGTTGGATTTTGCATGCTGAAGGTAAAGTCCTCTTTTAAACCTGATATTTTTTTCACTATCTAAAATCTAAATCTGTAAACTTCTCTGAGATTTTAATTGTACATTTGAAACTGTTTTTACAAAGACAGAACAGTGATTTGAAGCATCATTGGTGTTGAGCAGGTAGATATGTCTTTCCTGTCAAGAGTATGCTGTCTCTTTTAAGATTTTAATTTTTTTATAAATTGGAGAGAACAACTGTATTGTTTTCTTTTGATACTCAAAAAAAAAAAAAATCCTCCCTCTTTAAGACTCTCCTTGAAGGATGCTGCAGTGATGAGATTCTCTGTATAAATGAAAATGGGCAATTCCAGCTTGACCCTGATTCTACTGCAGTTATTCAGGATGTCCAGTTGCTAGAAAAGCTGCTTCTTGACTGGAAGATATGGTCTAAAGCAAAGGTAAATATTTTAATTTTGGAAATTCTTCAGGTCTTAAAGTCAATATCTAAAAAAAAAAAAAAATAAAGTATTACCTAGTCTGTAATTCATTTCTCCAGTTATGTGTTGAAACTGGAGGAGTAGCAGCTAATTACTACAATTTTCTAAAATTAATGTTCCTTGTTTTTCTTAGAATAGCTGTTTGTAATATCAATCTCATCTGATCAGTGATGGAGGTAGCCTTAGTGTATTAAATTCTGTAAATATGTTGTATGCGTATGACTTCTTAATTGAATTGATAATTTTTTTTTGTGGAGAAACTAAGGAGGACCTGTTTTCTTTCGGAGTTGAACCGTTGAAAATAACTATTCAGGGTTAATATAGCTAAGAATGTACAAAGCTAATTTTAGACAAGTAATTTTTTTTGCAGCCTAATCATTAAAATATGTGTAATTTTGTATGAGCATGACTTTTCTGATTAGTTTCTAACCTGTTCTGACCTGACCACTTGCATTCATGTGGTTATCATCTTAAGTGTAAAACTAACTTGACTTTGTTGTGTTTGGGTTTTTTTTTTTCTCAGTATGTAGACTCACAAATATATTTTTGAAGCTACATTCATGTTTTTTGTTTTTCAGCAAGGTGTTTGGGAAACCCTGTTAGCAGCTCTTGAAATCCTTATCAGAGCTAACCATCACCAACAGATGTTTAACATTAAACAGCTATTGAAAGCTCAAGTGGTCCATCACTTCCTGTTAACTTGTCAGGTTCTGCAGGTACTTCCACTCTGAAATCCTAAGTTGTGCTTGGCAAATACTCATTTTTACTTGGGGAGGATGGGGTAGAAGGGACTAAATTCTGTGGCAAAAGTTGAGTAGACTGTCCTCTGTGCTTCTAGACTACTTCCATCTTCAGCAGGCACTGTTGCTGTAAACTGGTACAGTTCCCTACTGGTGCGCCATTAACTGCTGGACAGAAGGAACAAAAGCTTGTAACCATCTGGTGTGATTTGGAAAGGCTCTAGGTTATTTGCAGAGCCATACAGCAGCAGGAGATGAAATGAATTGTCTCTTTTATATAGGAAGACCTGAGATGTCTCTTGCTGGTTCTTGTTTTCATTACTGAAAACCAGATAATCTGCAGGTAGTGAAGCTGTCTGTGCTGTATCTCATCAGAGCTAGTGGGGCTGCCTGCCTGTAGTGCTCAGTCTGAGCACTCATCCCATAATTTTGGTACAGTAGTAGCTTCCTCCCTGGCATGGAAACAGCTATGCCAGAAAGGACTTTAGAGAAATGCTTCTGTCCTTTGATAGACATTTCTTAAGAACATAATTTTGAAATGGTTTCCTGCTTAGAGTACATGTATCTATTTGTGAAAATATGTAATCATTTTTTCCTGTACTCTTATTTTCTATCTTATGTTGCTTTTTATTCTGAGTTTTTCACTTCAGCATATGAAATGTATTTATTTTTTTCCTCTTTCAATGATTTTTTACAAAAATATTTTCCTCATTTTAGTTTCTTCATTTTTATGTGGTGTTCCCTACTTTTGGAACTTTTTAGAGATATAGTTACTTCCAAGATTGTAAACTAGTGCAAATGCCTAGATACTGAGTGTTTTGTAATATTTCTCCTGTCATTTTGCATATTGGGAAAAAAATTAATTTATTGATTAAAAAAACTACTCAGATTGGTCAATGATTTGGCAGTTTTGTGGGGGCTGATGAAACCAAGGTGAAACTATATAAGATATTCTCTTTAGAGAAACTTAAATTAACTTAATATAGTCTTTTCCCACAGCAGTCTCAGTTAGGGTGTTTGGGTATCAAAAAAGGAGGTAAATTCAGAGAAGTTGTAAAGAAGGAAGATAATCACCATGCTTGCCTTACAGCGAGGTTTCCCACAAATTTCTTGAAGTTTTGTTCTAAAATATATGTTCTTTTAATAGATATTTTGAGGTAGCTGTTGTCAAACTATGTAGAATGCTTGATTAAGCTGACATTATAAATATAATTATCAATTAATCTCAAACGTATGTTTATAAAAATGGCTACTGAAGTGGAAATGCAGAAGACTGTGTGGTACTGTTCAGGAATTTATTAATATGTTTGAATTACTGGTATTGGCAGCTATTAATTTCTTTACAAATACTGTAATCCAGTGACAAGAAACTATACTTTCAGTGGTGATTCATGTCCTAAAGTTCCAGCATTGCATGGCAGAGCAGTATAGTATGGAGAAGGGGCCCATTTTTCTAAAAATCAACTTGCATAACATGTGCAATGTTTGGTGCATGATGGACTTAGATAATGTTCAGGACATACAGTACCTCCTCTCAAAATTAAAGAATACAGCTTTATTAGCTGAGCTTTTTTTTTTTCTTGTCTGTTCTACTGCAGCATGACAATTTAAAAAAAAAAAAAAGACCGTTTCTCAAATAAAAATTACAAGTTGTGCTACTCTTTCTTTCTAGGAGCATAAAGAGGGACACCTTGCATCCCTGCCTCGGGAGGTTTGCAGGTCATTTGTGAAAATAATTGAAGAAGTGCTTGGTTCTCCCCCAGACCTGGAATTGCTGACACTGGTTTTCAATTTCCTCTTAGCAGTTCACCCTCCCACCAATACATATGTTTGTCACAACCCTACCAACTTCTACTTTTCCCTGCACATAGGTAAATATGCAACGTTTAAATAAACAACAAGATAAAAATCTGGTAATAAAATAATACTTTAAGAAAACCTTTTCTGTATTTTAATGACAATATATTAAAAATTCTTGAATGGTTGGGACTTAATACTGTAAATTACTTTTACTTTTCTGAAACAGGTTACAGTTATATTTTGTTTACTTGGAGAGCTTTCTTCATAGATAATTTCTCTCATGGTTATGCCTTTAATTTTCTAAAAGTTTGATGCTGCTAAATGGTATGCTTTATTTAGCTGCCTGTGTGGACATTTGTCTGTGGGCAAATTTAGGGAAAAAAAATCTAGCTTACCTGTAAATGCAGCTTCTTCAGAAATGTGTATTTGGTCCTTTCTCCACTTCTACTTTCTTGTTTCCTGTTACTGAATTCCTAGAAAAATAAAGAGCCTGAGGAGCATTTTTAGCAATGGATGATTTGCAAGACGTCAGTGTTCATTATTCATCAGTTCATTGCATAGAAGCTCCTGGCAGTGCTTGTGGGCTTTGAGGGGTACAGACCTAGAACAACAGCTGCTTTAATATATCTGTACTGGATGATCATGTTGGCAAAATGACTGATGTGAGCTTTAAAATATATTTCTTGCTGCTCTTAAAAATGTGAAACAATGTATAGTTTATGCTTTAATATTAGCATTGTGCAACCTAAGCTGTAACGTATGTAAACATGGGAAAGCATCATCCAAGTTTGAAATATTTTCTCCTTTGGCAAATACCCATGTACCTCAAGTTTTAGTGATCAGTTTCAAAGGCAGCACAGTTTTGTTTATCTTTATCTGTCCTCTAATACTAACTGCTGTAAAATTCTGAGTAAGGAGAGAATGCATGTTTTGATACTTGAAGCCTTTTTAGGCTGTTTGAGAACACCCACCTGTTTTTGACATGACAAAAAGTCAGTTGTCACTGCTTGTATGCCTGCAAGGACCACCTTTAAATGTAACCACTTTAATACTTCATAATATTTTTATTTTTCTAAAGTAAATTTTGAAGTCATATCACTAAAAGTGCTTTTTCTCAGTTGTTTGGACTTGAGCACTTCTCGTTAGCCTATAGGGGTTAGCTCAAAATATAACCACCTGACTACTCTGAGTCTAATTTACCAGCCATACGGACAAAAAGATTTTATATAACTTTCACCCTTTTCTTTCTAGATGGCAAAATTTTCCAGGAGAAAGTTGAATCACTTAGGTACCTTAGAAATTCCAGCAGTGGTGGGAGGTCACTAGACAATTCTGCATTTGTGATTACATCTCCAACTGGATTTACAGCTTTACCACTGGAAGGTAAAACAATACTGGAAAAATAAGGATGTTAAGACACAATGTTTTGGCAAATGATTGGACTGCCTTAAAGTGTTACTTTCCCACAGATATTTCTTATAAAGTTGCCCATCCCTTGGAGCTTGATGCCTGAATGCTCTTCATTCTTAAGTTGAAGCAAATTGCCACATTGATGGCTCAGGCAGTGAAGTGGACCAGATAAGCAGAATCATTTCATTTGTTAAACAGACCTGCCAGAGATGTATAAGAGTGCCCTGACCAGGCAGCAGTTGAAGCAGTGAGCCATAAGCAGCTATCTTATCTGGGCAGAAAGCATTAAGCTGATACTTTTCTTTATTTGTGCATAATCCCTAACAACAGTCCACATGTGTCAGATCATGTGTGACTGGCTATATTCTTGGTATCACAATGTAAAACCTTTTACAATTGGTATCTTGTTACTTTCTTTAGGAAAAGGAACTTGAGTTTTCAAGTACTACTTCAGTTGAAACAATGTTTATTCAAGTTTTTTTTAGTCTTTTTACTAAAGAAGTGGTATGAAGAACATATCACAGTACCAAATTGTGTATGGAATCAGTCCTTTTCCCATATGGAAAATGTATGAAATCTCATTCTTCTAAATGAGTGTTTTTAGTATTTTTTTTATATCAGTATTACCAAATTACTGTTCTTGAATAGAGATTATTCATGTGTACCAGCGGAATGAGGACTACTCAATTTCTTTTTGTGAAAGTGGATGTTTGAGTGTTTGAGATTCTTAATTTGAATTTCCAAATGTGGATGTGAACCCTGGCAGTGCCCTAGGCCAGGCTGGATGAAGCTCTGAGCTACCTGGTCTAGTGGCAGGTGTCCTGCCCATGGCAGGAGGTGCTGGGACTAGAAGATTTTAAAGGTCCATTCCAACCCTTTAATGCTGTATGATTCTATGAAATGTCTGAACTTGTTTGTGTGTTAAGTAGCCTGCTGCCTGCATGTGGGTTTGCAGTTTGTTGTAGTGCCTGCTAATGTGTGTGAAAGCTTGACTGTAAGACTGTTTCAGCTGTAGATCTTTCCTGTTGTGTGAGGGCCAGCTTGGTCTGGCTGTGTTGGCACGTGTATGATATTCATGTATTTCTTTCATATATTTCTCATAAAAAATACATTCCTAATGCATCATCATTGCATTAGTACTAACTGATGCATAGTTTTCAAAATATTTGTGAATGAAAAGAATTCTTCTTTTCCTAGACTAACAGGGAACTGCTTTTACCTGTCTTGTATACAGACATCTTTCTCTCTTAAAGCTATATTTTGTTCACGACTTGTAGTATGCTCTGAAAGGTCGACTGCTTCAGGTCAAAATGTGCAATTAAAAGCAAGCACTGTTAATCAAAACACCTAATTATTTGTTCTAAATTTGAAGTATGTGTAAAAACTCGGTGTAAAAGAGTTGCTGAGTAGCAATTTGATGTCCACTGAAATGCTGCAGATTGGACCTCTTACACAAAGCTCCAAATAGAGCAAGCTGCTTTATTTGACCCTGCTTTGAGCAAGGATTCTGGTGTAGACACCTCCAGATGTGCCCTCCACCATCCTTGATTCTATAGAAGTTCATGCTGAGAGTTAGGTGAAAGGATCCAAACTTAAATCTAGAAACTCCAGAATATTGGCAAAAATTACTTTGCATTTTGTTTCTTTCATATTTGTGACTTGCTAAATATGTGGCCGCATAATAGTTTACTGTCTCTACTTTGATTAACCAGATCTGGGCTATGTTAGGCACTGAATCATTTTTGCACGTAAAATTAACTTGGGTCACTACAATTTTAAATGCATGCAACATTAAGAGAAAAGCTGGGTTTTAGTGTGGAAAGAATGCTGAAGATATCCTTATTTCCCTAGGCAGCACTTCCAAAGCTAGTGTACAGCAGAAGATAAGCTCTCAGGAACCTAGAAGGCTTTCTAAAAGCTTACCAGCATCACCTACTTCCTCACCCCAAGTTCATCGAAAAAGACTGACTAGAAGAATGGGAAGCAGTGTTGATGACCTGCAGATCCTTGGTGAGCGTGACTACATGGATCTTCAGGGTCGAATTGGTTTTGTAGAAAGCTCTGAAACTATAAAGAGAGTACAGGAAGAACTCTTCCTTAGCAGCTGTGAGTCTGCAAAAACAGTTTGTGACTCAGAGCTAACATCTGCCGAAACATTTGAGGATATTGCAAAAGAAGTAGAGTTATCTGAAAATGCATTAGAGAGTAAAGAAGCCGATACAGACCTGAAATGTAATGAAGCTGGTGGTGGTGGTGCAGCTGAGGCATCGCTCCGTCGTCCAGACAATCTGAAAGGACTGCCTTCATTTCAGAAGGGACAGGGTCATTTTGCAGGGCTGGGCTTGGCATTCTCTGTTCTTGGAGCATCATCAGCCATTGCTCGCTGGCCAAGCTTTGCTGACAAGAGTGTTCTTCCTGAAGACTGGGACAGTCTTGCTTTTTCTTCAGCTAATGAGAATACCCCAAAACCACCTGAAAGCCCTGATGACAGGTAAACACATAAAATAATAAATTAACATGAGCTTTAATTTCACAGTTCTTGCTCTTGATTACTATTCCACAGAATTCCAAGTCTGAAAACTAAGGGAATGTTTTCAATGGCTGTCATATAGAAATTTATTAAGCTTTTAGTGTATAGAATGTTCTGTTTCAGTTTTTGCTGTATTTATATAACAAATTTTAAAAATAGGGATTTTTGCTATGTGCAGTAAAAGTGTGAACTGCTCACAAAAAAAGTTATTCTGATCAGATTATCCTTTTTACTATCTGCCATCATAAAAATAAGTGTTAATGTAGCTTGGTAGTCAAGAGTATTGGAGAAATGATATTTTCCAAGTTTCTAACCTGAACCTTCTTCCTGTCTCTCAAGAACTGCAATTTCACATTTTTTAATCTTTCCTGCTGTGGTAAAACATTTTCCTCTGTTTTCAGATGTGCAGAAGACTACCTTGTGCTTATCTGTTGTGGATTATATGATCTCTTGCGTGGAGTTCTCCTAATCCTACCAGATATCATGCTAGAAGATGTGATGGACAAACTTATCCAACCTGATTATCTTATAGTTCTGGTGAACCACCCATCTCCTCTCATACAACAAGGAGTCATAAAAGTAGGCCTATATCCAATGTTTTCACCTAAAAAGTTGTGAACCAGCATAATTAACATTTTGGAAATGAGATTAAAATTTTAAAATTTTTGTTTAGCTTTCTTAAGTTTTCTACATTTATTTCTGAGTTGTGAGACAATTTTTCACTCTATGGATTTTAAAAAAAACCAAAACAGAGCAAATCACAAAGCAACATAAACACACACTCTTGAATAGATAAATACAGTGCCTAATGTAAGCCAAAGGCCTTAAGAGCTTATGACAGCATTGCCATTGTAAATGGAAGAAACAGTGCAGAAAGTCAGTAATGCAAGACATGATGCAGTGTGTAAAAAAAGTGCTTGCACCTTAGTTTGACTTGTAACAGAGTTGACTTTGAGTTACGCTGAGGAGTCATCTACGCATTTATGAACTGAAGATGGACTTGAGGGTTCAAAATGTTTTCAGAGATTTTTGTAGTATTAAGGACAGTGTTTCTGTATGATGGCATTATGTAGATAAACTTAGAATAATTTCTATTTTAATTTGAAAAAGAATAAAACTGTATGACTTTATTGAGAACAAATGTCATGCTTGCATTTGCATGCACACCAAAGTCTAAGAAGTGTAAGACTGAACAAGTATAAAAAGTTTGAGTATTTATGTATGCATTTGCTAACTGTTGTGTGTGATTTCATCTGCCCCAATCTTGATAAAAAATGTAAGATCAAAAATATATTATCAGATGTCGATTGTAATAAGGACAGTGTAGATTTCAGCTGCAATAGTATAATTGATGTTTGCAATTTAAAAAATTGCATCGATGTTTGAATAAAAAAAAAAATTATTTCAATCACAGACAAGAATTTAACTTTCAGGGCAGTTTTATTAAATATTTAACTCTTACACCATAATTATGCATTTATTTTTAGTTGTTGGATGCATATTTCAACAGAGCAAGGAGGGAGCAGAAGGAGAAATTCTTAAAGAATCGTGGCTTTTCTTTGCTAGCCAACCAGCTGTATCTTCATCAGGGGACTCAGGAAGTTGTAGAATGCTTTTTGGAAATGCTTTTTGGCCGCTCTGTTGGCCTGGATGAAGAGTAAGTAATGCTGTGCTTTTATGTCCTGTAACAATATGTGAGTTACAAGCAATGCACTTTGCTGGTCAACAACTATAAAAAGAGTTCCTTCAAAACTGTTTTGGTATGTTTTGCTTATTTAGCATTGAAATGTATTAAAATCCTTCGAGCCATTGGTTGTCTCTTAAACTATTTGTAAGCAACTTCATCTGATGGCTGTCAGCTGGGATCTTGTAAACTCTCTGAGGCACTCAAAGTCTGAGGCCTTGAACTCAAACGTCGTATAATCAGTTTTGCTCTCTCTGTTGTCTCTGAAACTGATTTGTATCCTTAAAATTTTAAGTAGCAGTCACTAGACTTCTCCTCTTGGATTTTGGTAGATAACTAAGGAAAAATCGTGATGCCACAGCTGCTTCCTTGTCTTGGCTCCGAATTTAAATGGCTGTCCCTTTCAGGGAAAATCCCAGACATACACCATTTTTATGAACCAAAGAGTCACCTCATATTGACAGAAAAGGAGATTACCTTTAAGCAGACATCTATATAAGTAAATTATATTTTTTTAGCATTAGTCTGACTATGTAATGCTTGTATAGACGTCACATGTTTAAATATAATCATTGGAAAAATCTTGCAAAAAGTTCCTTCTCAATTGCTACCTCTGCAGAGCCAATTTGTAATTTGTAGCCAAATTCTGCCTCTTGACCTGATCTTCACCATTCAAAAGCTTTTCTCGTTTAACTGCAGTATTTAGTTATGGCTGCTTAATTTGCCCTGAAGCAAACTACTTCTGTTACTTCTTCAGGATTTATTATGGGGCTGGAAAGATAATTCTAATGCCTCAAGTTTTTAGTATTGTGTATAATAGTCATATGATGGGCTGATAACCTTATAATAGTAATGCAGTTTCTTAGTGCACAAATAAAACAAGGTCTGAAGCACTGCGTTGAATTCTCCAGTCTCTACAAGCCAGATGCCAAGCTTAATTAAAATCCAGCAGTAGTGGATATAGAGTATCAAACCTGCTGCCAGTCAGTGTATTGTTATAGTGGTGACAAGCTGTGTCTGTTCTCTTGATAAGTGAATATCTTGATAAGATTATAATATAATATAATTAAAATATAATATAATAATATAATAAGTTAATATCTTGATAATAGTGACTATTGGAAAGGTGATGCAATGGTTTTCTGCACTGATTAAAAACCCCCCTCTATTTTCATGAACTCAGTATTGTAGACAGTTGATAGTTAGCTGAAGTGTCAGATTTATTTGACACTTCATTTCTTTGTGGCTCTATGAAAAGTTATTTTTCTCTTACTGGATTTTTTAGTAGACAGGTATTGTTACTAAAATGAAATGTAGGAAATTACCATGGACATCCTTGCCAAAATATAAGCATATGATATATAACTGGTACTCCAGTTGCATGTACTGTTTTTGTTAGCAGATTGTTCTTTAGGATGCCATTTACTCATATTTCTGTTAACAGATTTGATCTGGAAGATGTCAAGAATGCTGGACTCTTTCGAAAATGGTGTGTCATTCCTATTCTGGGTCTAATAGAGAATTCTCTCTATGATAATGTTCTGCTCCACAACTGCTTCTGTCTCCTCCTGCAAATCATAAGTTCCTGCTCAAAAGTTGCAGACTTACTGCTTGATAATGGTTTGCTCTATGTGTTGTGTAATACGCTGGCTGCTCTCAATGGACTGGAAACAAAGTGAGTATTGTTTCTGTTGCTATCAAATATTCTAGGCACAGCCTTAAGGCTAGCAAGAAATTACTGTATTGTATTGTACTTTTTAAAATTATCAGAGACCATGTAGAAAATAGTGGGTTTGAGGTTTTCAGCTTTATACCTGTAAGTTCATGTTCAGTCAGTTCAAATAATGGAATATAAAATGTTCTTTCCATACCTTAAACAGTCAAGTGAAATGACATTTTAAAATGAGTTTGTCACACTGTCTGCACTTTCAATGCTTTTCTTAATAAAACTGAACAGTAAGATAAAGGCACAGGAAATGGTAACATTCTATCTATGGCCAATATCGAAACTGAAGAAAAGTCTCTTGTGTACTGCCTATGATTTAATATTTGAGATTTTGAGTAACTTCAATGATTTTATTAGCTATGAAGATTCTGTTACAAAGGTTATATAGGGAACAAAAGAAAAGACAGGGTTTTGTTATTTTATTTCATTAGTTGGTATCCTGAAGAAATGGAAAGGTTTCTTTTTTACCTCAATATAGTTTTTGTCCAGCATGATTATAAAATGAGATTATCCTGATATTTTCTTGAGAAATATGGGATTTCAGAGTTGTTCTTTAACTTAAAAAATCTGATAGTAATACATCATTGCTTTTCCAATAAAAATGTGCTGCACTGAACATTAGAATGCCTCAAAAATTTGCAGGCATCCAATCTGCCAAATTAACACTAAAGCAATGTCTTGAATTATAATTTTCTGGTCTTCAGCAGTGACATTTTTATATGAAGTACAACATAATATTAGATAGAGTTGGCAAAAGTCACAAGGGGAATAATAATGGGTCTTGTTAAGAGTTATGATCTACTAGAATTGTCATGTTTCTGGTAACTACAACTTTGTTTGCAGCATTCCCTTGAATGACTACAAGTTACTTGCATGCGATATACAACAGCTGCTGGTAGCAGTTGCAATTCATGCCTGCAGCTCCTCAGGTTCTCAATATTTTCGTGTTATCGAAGATCTCATTGTGCTGCTGGGTCATCTCCAAAATAGTAAAAATGCAAGGATGCAAAGTAAGTTGTCTGCTGATTTTTGGGGTCATGGGACCGGAGAAATAAATTCCTTCCCCACTGTTTTTTTATTTAATATTCCTGCTGAGGGAGAAGGGGGAGTTTTCTGGTGGTGAATCTTTCTCTTCCTAAGTGGTTCTCAAATTAGGGTTTTCCCTTAGGAGTCTGCCTTGTGGTCAAGAATTGTGTGCTGCTAATCTGAAAGAACAGTGACTGTAAAAGTTCTTTAAGAATATTTAAATGAAAACATTCTGTACAGTTTAATTTAGCTTGTTTTAAAGTAATCAAATTCAATGGCTTTTCTATGAGAACTCATTTCTGTAGTGTCTGTGGAATAGTGAGGTGACTCTGTGTGACTCCTGTGGAAGTTAGAGTTTTATAGTTCTTGACACATTTTGTGTTTTGACTTGCTACAAACATCTGGTAAAAAATCCTGAAGATGTGTAAAGCATGTCATATAGACTTTGTATGCCTCTCTCTCTAGATATGGCAGTTGTTCTGCAGTTAAGAGTTCTTCAAGCAGCCATTGAATTAATAAAAACCACAGCAAGCCAAGATGGTCAGGAGCAGGCCAGTTCAGCCCCAGCACCCTCAGCACCACATCGCACAATGTTTCAAAAGCGCAAAGGCATCGCGGGTGAGTAGCAGAAGTGTAGAGTTCTTGTACTTTCTCCTGTATATATTACTTGATGATTGCATGATATTATCTTCTCTGGGGATTCTCTTAAATTCACAAGTTGCTTAGTAAAGATGTTTTTAAACTAATTCATAATGCTTGTAATAGCCAACCTCACAGTAAGGTAATGCCAAAATCAAGTTAGTGCTTGTAACTAACACAGGTATGATGTGGGGGTTGCTGTGTTGCACAACTTCTCATTAGAGACAGTCCTGAAATTGTCTAAACCTGCCACTCCAAATTTATACTTGGAAGTGCCACTGTGGTTGTGTTTTTAAAACCTGTGTTGACTTCTAGCTTTAGCAGTAATAGTTTCCCTGTATTTGATAGCTAGTCAGTCCTTCTGTAAAGGTTTTGGATTTGTCTGGATGTAAGTTGATTTTGTATGTCTCTTACAAATAAAGCTGCATTAAACTTCACAGAAGATAGTTTAAAAACCTGGCAAGCACTTATTATTCCCTGTTTACTATGGGAATGTTTCTCTTGAGATGGTCAGCTTTTGAGACCCCTCTTCATCAACCTAGCAACCTAGTGAAATGTTTTTTTATATATATATATATATATGTTCAGTACAGTGAAAACGTTTTTATATTAGTGAACCTGTTGAGGCACTAAAGATAAATAGAAACAGTTATTTCCAAAAGAAGGAAGCACAATCAAGACCTCCCAGTTAATTTCAAGAAAATTCTGAGGAATATTCTTTTAAGTTAGATACTGTGCTTCTGTTAGTGGCAATAGATATGGTACAAAATGTGTTTGCTGATATGTCTGGCTCATCATTTGTGCTGATGAACCTACTCTGAAATATTTTGTTGTATTACTGATTTTCAGTCCTTTATCCTATTTATACAATAAAAAGAAGAATAAAAGTAAGTGGGCTTGGATGTTTAGCACAAGGATATGGAAGTCATACAATAAATCTAATCTTGAGACTAAGTCATTTCAGATCACTTATTATTTGAAATTTATATATTTATTTTCAAAAAGCTTTAAAAATAAGACAAACACCCAATGACACATATGTTCCCTTTGATACTGATATATTTCAAATGTTTGTTTCTTTAAATGATGCGAACTCTTTGGATGAAAGTAATTGCTGAGTGATTGAGTTCTTGTGCATTTTAGTGGAATTCTATTCATACTTCTCTCCTTAAAGCTTCCAGGAAGTTTTCCCTCGCTCAGTCTGATGCTCTGCTGGTGAAAATGCGCTCACTAGCAAGTGAGGAATTCAACATGATGATGCAGCGGAGAATGAGCCAAGAAAATCCTATCCAAGCCACTGAGTCTGAGTTTGCACAAAGGTTACAGAGGCTGACAGTTTTGGCTGTTAACAGGCTCATTTATTTAGGTAGGATTTCTTTTTGGTTTATTTCTCTTTTGATGAGAAATGAATTATTGCTTTTGGAATGCAGAAGTGTTAGAGAGGAAAGTTGTTCTACTGACACAAGTTTAATGGATTTAGCCATAAAGCATCATTCTCTGTGGCTTGTCTCTGTGTTATGTAACTGGCAATCTGGGTAATGTTTTTATCTGAATGAACTGAACAAGTTATTTTATTTTTATATTAGTCTATTCATGTGTTAACTGCCTGAATTATTACCTGAAGATTTAACTTCCAAAGGGAGCACCTGTTCCCTTAAAATGCTATTTTTCTATGAAATGGCTACATTGATTAGCAAGCCTTGATGACTTTGAGAGCTAGTTCAAATTCTGCAAAAGCAAGGGACAGTGTAAGTATGGTAAATATATCAGTAAAGGCAGTATTTGATATAATGCCAACTAAAGGTTCGTAGGATTGTCTTGCTTGAGATGGTACTGATCAATATGTACCTCTTAAATTTTAAGCCTCTACTGAAGAGTGCCTTGATGTACTGGGTATAACAGAAAATACAAGTCAAAGCAGACTTTCAGCATCCCAGCTGGAAGTTCCCGAAGAGGAAAGCCAGCAAGAACTGACTAGCAGAATAAATCCTTTTCTTAAAGAAATGGCCAAAATGTTGGTGGAAGGAATCAAAGTATCCACTGTAAGTAATAGATGCTGTCTACATTAAAGCATATTTATCAGGAGCTTTCAGGGCATAGTGTATTCTATCCATAAATGCTTTTCTTACTACCTCTGTCTGTTCAACTGTGGCAGTAAAAACCCTGTTCAGCTTCCCAGTTACTTTGCAGTTATAAAATAAAAAATGGATCTGCTCTGATTTTTACCTTTACATTTAGTAAAATTCTGCTTGAACAAGAACACAGAATTTAAATAGACTTTCTTGTACTGTGAATATTTGTTTGATTTCTTAAACTTCAACACTGAGGTTTGCTGAAGCCTATAAAACCAGATCTTCTGTGCATCCACAGGTGGTAGAGATTTTTTGAGCAATTTGTTTATAGTATATTTTAAAGTTGGAAAGGAGAGCTTTCTCTTTTTTCAATTCTTGCTAAAGTGCTGCAGGTCTTCTAACATACAGGTGTTAGTTAGCTAGCTCAGAAAAACCATATTTGATAGGTGTATTATCTTTCCATTGTGCCATACCTGCAGTACTTTTCAAAGATGGCAAGTTTTTTCTGGTGAACACACCTCCTTTCAATGCCTGGTTTCTTACCTTTTGAGGTAATCCTTCAGAAACTGGTGATTAATGTAAAAGGATTGTTGATTAAAATGAGCAATAAAGAAATCGCTCTGGCTTTTAACCCATAATAATAATCGCTGTACTAAACCAAAACAATTACTTTGGTAGATAAAACTTCATCTTGCATTTTGATCATATTAACCATGTTTATTTTGTAATGTGAAAACTTGATAGAAGGAAGTCCTAACCCTGCAATATTAAAAAGTTGTCTCCATTACTTAGGGCACCAGCAGAATGAGCACTCCTAAACAGCAGTGGAACAGAATCCTTGTGTTATGTAAGGACACATTCCGTACACAGCTTGGGAGGCTTCTTGTGCATAGCTTGTCTCCTGTAAGGCCTCTGCAGGAGAGGAAGCAGGCTTTGGAAATGGTACAAGAAGTAAACCAGCAAGAGATTCTGCGTGACTGTCTAAGCCCAACTTTGCAAGTAAGCTCAAGAGGTTTTGAGATAAGTTTTTAAAACCTGTTTTCAATTTTTTGTCTACATTTTGCAATTATTTAGAACTGTATGTGGGTAGTTGTTCACTGCTATTTTAGTATGACAATTGTCAAACAAAACACCTGTGTGTACCTCTGCAATTGCTATACTATCCTGAGGACAGATAGCATTAAGTCTGGGTATGTTGATGCCATTCTGCATCAAACATATCCTCTGACAGTGCAGAGACAAAAGGTGATACTAGTCTTAGCATGAAGGATTTTACTGAGGAAGCTGGGAATTAAAGTACTCTAATAAAGCAAATCAAGGAAGGAATTATCCTTGTTATGGAGCTTTTAACTGTAGATATCCTGAAGCTTGTAAGAATTGATTGCAACTAGATTTTAAGAAGCAGTCAATCATAAGCCAAAGCAGTACACTCTCTTTTCTTACTTAACCTTTGTTAGTTCTTAAAGTGGGATTGTGTATTCCATGTTCTTACGCTAAAAAGTTGAATGTGTTCTCCCTGATTTTCTGAGTTTGTCAGAAGAAAGCTTCTAATTGTATTATGTTGGTGCAAGCTTAAGAGCAATCATGTCTTAGAGTCACAGGGAGAAATTAGATAGGAATGTTGCCGTTTGAGATCTTCAGGAATTGCAAGAATGAAATTAAAGACGTGCCACGGTTTGAGTTGCTGTATACTAAGGAGAGAAAGTATTTATTGGATTCGTTTATATATATATATATATATATATAAAAACATATATATATAAATGAGTTTTATCAGGTAGAAAAGAGCTGATACACTAGCAGTGACTTCTGTGTGGGAGTGTCATGTTGAGTGTATTTATGGCTTATGTCTGCTTAACTTCATTATCTGTCAGCTCTAATTTCATTAATCAAATGAGGTGTAGTATTCTTGGCAGGCAAAATTAGAGGTCTCTGGCACATATTTCCTGAAGTATAAATAAGGCCTCAGGAGATGAGTACTGGGGTACTCCATTTTCTTGCAAGCTGTTTGACAAGTCACAAGATGCTGGGGCAAAGTTTATCATGTGAGGATAAAATTCAGCATGTTTTTCTAATTTTATAAAAGTTTACGTTTAACCATTAAAGCTGTCTTTTTCTTTAAATTAGAGAACAATTAGAAGAAATCTGCACAGTCTGACTAGAAAAGGGTATAAAAGTGGAGAGGGAAATATTGCTCAGTGTTGTGGAAATGAGCGTGACCATACATTTGTATTCTCCTTTTTCTTTCTTTTCATCTTCTAGCATGGGCCTAAATTAGTGCTCTATTTGTATGAGTTAATGCACAGTCACAGTGATGGAATGACCAAAGAACAGCAAAGAGCAGCAGGAGACCTAATGAATACACTGAGGAGTTGTGGCTATAAATGCATTCCCCTGAGCCCACGACCAAAACCAGATTTAATAAAAGCTTTGAAAGAGGTTTGTGAATAAAAACTTTGCTTTAAAAACTGGGTGTATTTGAGACAATTGTCTTACATGGGGTCAGGGTTTAACTGCAGATTGTGGTGTTCTTTGGTGCGTGGCTTATGCTTTAGGGAATTCTCTTTGGGTTCTCAATATTTCTGTCACATACGCTCAGCTCTTCACAGCAAGCTCACAAGCTTCTCACTTAAACATATTTAATCCAGAGGAAGATGGGAGTTCATAATAAACTGATAGTATCTCTTATTTTCAAGAAAATAATTTTCAATTTCTTGCAAAGAAAATAATTACATATAAATATAATAAAAACGGCAGTAACTGAAATGAAGCCTTGCTGATTTAAAATGCTGTGAAGATCTCAGTTTAACAATTTTGTCCCTCTTCCGTTTTAAAACTGGTATATCCTTTAGCCTCCCCTTCCTTATTTTCATCTGTCTGGAAAAGAAAGTAATGAAGTAATGTGTAAAACTTCCATTCAGGATCAGAAGAAATATGAGATGGAAGAAGGTGTAAACAAAGCTGCTTGGGAGAAGACAATGGCTAATAATCGGCAGAAGTAAGTGCCTTAGAGGGGCTGCGAGAACTTAAAGAAATGTTCCCTGATCAGCACTTCCCATTGCAAAGTTGCCTGTGTGGTTATTATGGATGGGGTTTTTTACAAATTAACACCATCACTAGTTTTCAGGATTTTGAGTATACTGTTATATTATAGGCATATGCATTTTGGTAGGTTGCATAATAAATGGCATTGTGTGAACCTCAATAGTGAAATGCTTTTTGCATGTTTGGCATTTTCACCCTTAATTTTATGACTATTGCATCTGTCCAATCACCTCTCCTGTTGCTGTGGTCTGTGCAATTAAATGTTCCTGCAACTAACCCTGATTTTCAAGAAATGAAATACTGTATTCAATATACCATGGGAGTATTTTTGTGAGCTATGTAGACTACTGCTCCGTGGCGTAATGTAATTGTAAATTTTAGTACATTGTAGTAGTTTGAGTTTAGTACATTGTGGTAGTTTGAGTTTTCCATTAATTTAAATTTCAGGCTTTGCCATAAAAATCAGATTTGAGATGCACACACAATGTGCTTTTAATTAGGCAAGTGCTGTAGCTGTAAAGGGCAGATTAGTCAAGTCCATGGCAGACAAGTGTTAAGACTTTCTTATGTTGAATGACTTAGGAGATTTAATCAGTAGTAAATTAGTGTCCATACTCCAGGTTTTTATTGTAACGAGTATACATGAATTAGTCAAGCATGTTAATGCATAGCCATTGATCTTCTGACTGGCTTGTCTTGTCTTTGGCTAAAAGTAATGGGTTTTTTGATGACTAAGAAGCAGAAGGTACTCATGAATCTCATTACGTAGGCTAAGTTGCTCGACTTCTGCTGTAACTGGAACTCTACATATCTACTGCCAAACTGATTGTATTTTATGAGGCGTTTTGGTGTCTTTCCCTTTTCAGTGTGTTTATTTGGCATTTTAAAACACAGCTCCTCTCCTCAGTCTCTTTCAGCGTCTAGATACAAAATCTAAAGACATTTCTAAAATAGCTGGAGACATCACACAAGCTGTGTCACTGTCACAAGGAATGGAGAGGAAGAAAGTAATCCAGCATATCAGGGGGATGTATAAGGCAGAGCTAAGTGCCAGCAGACATTGGCAGGAACTTGTTCAGCAGCTTACCCATGATCGGTGAGTTTTCTCATCTCAGTGAAAAAGTGAGAGAGACTTGATGCCTGACATGTGCTTCTTGTTCTAATTAGAGGAATATGAAATGGAGATATTAAAATAAGAATTCCTCTTGCTAACCATCTGATAGTTACACTTGTGAAAGACTTGATTAGATTTTATTTTTTTTTTTACCCTATCTTTTAGGGTCAGTTGCCAAGTAGTATCTCCATCCCATTTAGACATTTTTTTTTCATCATAAACATTTTGCTGTGCTTAAAACAATGAAGGGTGTCCTAAAGTTTTCATATTTTGTACAACATAGATGGAGTAAAAAAAGTATTTTTGGGGTAATGTTACTCACATTAGCATCTATATACTCTATTCACTAAATAGCGTAGAACAGAGGATGTTAATGTTGATAAGAAATCAATCTATGGTATTTTCACCACTGCAGAACTAGTATTATGTCATGTTTGCAGCAGCAGAGTTTTCAAAATAGTGTTGGATGCATTGTATTGCTGTTTTCATTAGACTGAGTAACTTCAAGAACAGTCTTAGAGTAGCAGCTTGTGAAAAGTCATTTGGTGGAATAGCTCATGAAAATAAACTACTAAGAATTCAGTCTTTTAATATTTTTAAAGAAAAAATTCCCCAGTGTACTTCAGTGCAACTTCTGTTTTTCTACTAGTTAAAGAAGAGCTGAATTAATAAGCATATATACTGCCTCAGCTGCCATACTCCTAACATATATTTTTTTATCAGAGCACTCTGGTATGACCCAGTCTATTACCCAACTTCTTGGCAACTGGATCCAACAGAGGGCCCAAACAGAGAGAGGCGCCGCTTGCAGAGGTGCTACCTAACTATTCCGAACAAATACCTTCTCCCAGACAGACAAAAACAGGAAGGTAATTAAAACATCTTCAATGCTGAATGTAGCATAATGTCTGGATTGTAATGACTGTTACTACCTTACTATTTGTGATGTCTTTATAGGTGTGATAAAAACTCCATTGTCTTATTTATTTGAGGACAAAACACATTCTTCTCACTCCTCTACTGTAAAGGACAAAGCTGCAAGTGAACATATAAGGTAAATGTTGGATAACACTTACTTCCCTTTCCTGTATTTTCCTAATCAAATTAAACAGTTGTCTAAAAACAATTTTTTTGTCTTAAAAACATTTTTTAAAAAATCAAGTGGGAAATGAGACTGATGTCAAAAATAGTAGGCATTTTGCTTTACTCAAAAGACTAGAGCTACCAAATACCATCTGGTGTGCTGTGGATAGGACTTGTGGGATAACCTGGTGAGATCTCTTATTTTCACTTACTAGCACTGTCTGTCCTAGATATCTAAGATCTGGTAGGTCTTTCCATCAGAGTTCAAAAGCAAATTGTCTTTCAGTCCTCTGCTTTTATCACTGCATTACTCAACTCTGCAGTTGTGTAAATTTGCCACCTGTTACAGGCACTAATACAGCCTAAAACAACTGCAGAGAACATGGAAAGAAATAAGTGCAAATACACTCATAAGCACATCTAAAAAGTTGAGGTTCTATTTTCTTTTCCTCTTTGGGATATGAACCATTAGTTGTGTTGTTGGACAGTTTTTCTTCAGTTGTAACCTTGGAGGCTGTTTGCTTTAGGTCGGTTTTAGGTCTCCTGAAAGGTACATAAATCCATAAAGACAGGACAGGCATTTCCCTAATCCATAAGCATTTCCACTTTGAAATATTTCAGAGTTAATCGAAGATGTATAAGTGTAGCACCTTCTAGAGAGACTGCTGGTGAACTATTGCTAGGTAAGTAGAATTTTCAGTCTTTATAAATATATTTTTGGTGTTAGAGTCTGCTGTATATATAAACCTGGCTGATTTTTTAGAAGTAATTGAGTTGTTGCCTGACTGTGGATTACTTACTTTGGTATATCAATTTTGCCTTTCTTCTCTACTGTTTTCATGAATGCCGTTTGAACTGCCAGTAAGTTTTAAGATTTGCAGACCACTTGCTAAAAGATGTGGGATGATAAATGTATTTCTGTCAAGTACTGTCTTGCCCCAGGTACTATTCTTAGCATTATTAACTCCTGAATACTATTTATAAAACCCAAAGATGCATTGTGCAATATCATGTACCTTTTCATAACTATTTTTGCTGTAGGAAAATGTGGCATGTATTTTGTTGAAGATAATGCTTCAGACACAATTGAAAATTCGGTAAGTGTTAGAACATATTGTCCAACTTTAATTTTACCAAACTATGGCTGTGAGTAGCTTGCTGCTTCAACAGATTCAGTGGCAGTAGTACTAGAGATCTCTGGATAAAGCTAGCCAAACTGATTAGTTTGGTTTGTGTTGCTTCTGTTGACCCTGGCTATGGAATTTGTGGTGATAGAAAAAAACAAAGATGTGGGCCTGATGCTGGGAGGGGATGAGGAACAGGTGATGTGAGAGGCTTCTGCACCTTGCAGTCCATTGCTTTGAGTTTATCAGCAAAGCGCACAGAGTTTGCTTTGGTCTGCACCTGAGAACATGCCTCAGTGGAAGCTGGGGCACTGTGAAGTGCAGAAAGTCACAGGTGTATGAATTGTGCTCCACAGCATCTCATTCTTGAATTTTTACATTATATATGATGTTCTAGCTCCTTCCTTTTCTTGTACAAGAGGATTGTTTCATGAAAGAAAAGGGAGCTGACCTAATCCTTCTGATGTACAAAGACTCAGATATGTAAATTGTTCATACATCCAACAAACATGTAAAAATAATCAAGATACAGATTGTACTACTGAAAGCTTTAAACTGCTTTTATAGAGCTCTTCCTTGCATGTACTGAACAGGCAGTTCCTGTGGTTTAAGATGCTAGCAGCTGCTGTGTCCTTCACAGAGCTGTCAGAGCTGGGATTCACAACAAAGCTTTGCTTGCTCTGACTGGCTGTCCAATATTTTTAGCTTAAGAGCCATGGAAAAGGTGGCATTGCTTGCTAGTGCTGGGTAAGGAACTGGAGCAGCTGAGGAGCATGTGTCATGTTCTACCCACTGCCTTGAGGAGAGTGGAGGATGGGGAAAGCAGCTAAAGAAATTCACATCATATTAAAACATTGCATTAAAATTAAGTTTTGCCTTATGATATGCTGTATTGTTATAAACTGGTTGCATTGAAGGGTTTCTTGTTTGGAAAATCCACTATTTAAAACAACTTTCCAAATTGCAAATTCTACAGAGTTTTCATGGAGAAACAGAACCAGCATCGTTTTCTTGGACCTATGAGGAAATCAAGGAAGTTCATAAGCGCTGGTGGCAGTTAAGAGACAATGCTGTGGAAATCTTTCTAACCAATGGCAGAACTTTGCTCTTGGCTTTCGATAATACAAAGGTACTGTGGCAGCAATGCAGAGTAATACACCATAAATCATTTTGCTATGTCTTTATAATGTGTATATTCAGGCATTAGGTTTTTAAGGAGACCTGTTGCATGGACTAATTAAATTTTGCCTAATACCTTTGAAAGAACTTGGCTCAGCTGGGCTTCTGGATGATCATAGGCATGTTGTAAAACACATATCCGATATCTTAAGACATTAAAAAATCTTAATGATACTAGACATTCTATTACAGCAGATATCTGGAAATACACAAAATGAGAGAAACTTACTCTTGGTAATTTTAAACTTTTAAATTGTATGACTAAATCTATGGTGTTTTCTTCTAGGTCCGTGATGATGTGTACCACAACATCTTGACTAACAATTTGCCTAACCTTTTGGAATATGGAAACATTACTGCTTTGACCCACCTGTGGTGCACAGGACAGATTACTAACTTTGAATATCTGACTCATTTAAACAAACATGCAGGTCGTTCCTTCAATGATCTCATGCAATATCCAGTATTTCCTTTTATACTTTCTGACTACACCAATGAAACGCTGGACCTAAATGATCCCTCAGTATATAGGTAATATGAAATGCTTTAAACTTTTTTTTTTTCCATATACTTGAACTGATCATCCTGTATAGCTTTTTAGCTTTATTGTACTAAACTGCACACACACACACAAATGGAGCTATACAGGGACAAGCCTCATCTCAAATTGGGCTTTTACAGTAAGTGGCTGCTTTGCCTGGGATATTGGAATAAAACAGATGTGTAGATTCAAATGCAATGTGTTGGACTTTACACTGTCTTAATGGGCTATGGATAATTCACAGAATTACATAGAAGCTGTATGTTTAAATTCATATGATTACAGACTTCCAGGCCAATTAGAAACAATTAAATAGAAAAGGAAATAATATCATAAATTACTTGGTCAGTTACAAGATAAGTCTTCACTTGAATGGATTTGAGTGAATTGTCCCACCCTGATAAATTTCTGTTATGCTGATTTAACATTTGTGTGTACTAAGTCTTTGCCTTTATAGGATGCCTCTGATTTGACTGAGGAGCTTGGCATTTGCTTGCCTGTTACTGTGCTGTAGAACTGAGTTTGCCTTTAGCACTAACAGAAAGTTGTTTTTTTTATTTTCTGAATTTTTTTGAAAAGTCTTAAGTTTTCCTTGTCCTTTTCATTATATTAAATGTGTTATTCTTAATGATGTGAATCAATTTGTAATAAAAATTACAGCATATCAGTACTGCTTTTGTTGCAGAAATCTGGTCAAACCAATAGCTGTGCAGTCTAAAGAAAAAGAGGATCGTTATGTGGATACTTACAAGGTAATTTGGATAATTTTTTCTTCTTGCCTTTGTCCCAAGTATAAATGACATAGTGGCTTTAGTTTTTATAACGTATTTTTACTGGCGAAGAAGAAACTACAAATACAGTATTTCATGGCTACAGTACTCTTATTTCCAGTATATTTTCCAGGAAACATTTCCTAGGAATTGTTTTATAACATGTTTGGAACTTGTGTTTCTTCCTATACCTGAAATCACAAATCAGTTTAGCCCATCCATGTGGTACTGTTGAAGAATTTAAATGGGTCCCACCTTATATGGGAATGTGCATACATTTAAAATCATAAGATCCCCTAAAGATCAGGAAGACCATTTACTGATGTTTAGTTGACATTACTTTGGTGGAATTTGTAGCTATTTGTTCTTTTTGATAACAGAAAGTCTGTTTTCCCTCAAGTACTCCATTATTTTTACATGCCCTACTATGATAATAGAACTTTTTAATTTTTTTTCCCCCTTTAAAATGTTTTAAAGGCTATAGGAAATAGCAACATACTGGGGAATTAAAGCATCTGCAGCTGGACTTTCAAACTTGTCTGTGTCACCATAGTCTACTGTATTATTTGCAAATACTGTTTTTTCCATGACTCTGCTTTGTTAGAAAACAAGATGGGGGAGTGGAGAAAAGTAAGAGTAATAAATCATGGAAAATAGGTCATTTAAATTGGCTAAAGACTTCTATACCTAACTGGATTGTAAAAGTGATTGTGTGTCTTTAGACACTTAAAAGTGTATTTGATTCCAGATCACTTTTGAATGCATGTTTCTGAAAAGTTTGAGAGTTTATTCCTAAAGAATTTAGGCAAGCTCTTATTTTTGTTGTTGGAATGCATTTAAGGAGGAGATTTTTGATTTTCTTTACTCTCTCCTATTTTTCTAGTATTTAGAAGAAGAGTACCGTAAAGGAGCACGAGAGGATGATCCAATGCCCCCTGTGCAACCATATCACTATGGATCTCATTATTCTAACAGTGGAACTGTACTTCATTTCCTAGTTAGGCTGCCACCTTTTACTAAAATGTTTTTAGCTTATCAAGGTAAGGTTGCATTTGCTTGTCCTTGCCTTTTACATCTGGGCCTTTGTCCAATAACCCAGGAATGCTGTATGTTACCCTATTTAGCATAGGTTTTCCAATTCCAGATAGCTGAGCCTGGTTAAATTAAATCTGGTATGCTTTAACAGTAGATCCATTCTTGAAATTATCAAGCTAGACCATAAAGCTGGTCATCTGATATTTATACTTTAGTTTCTGGAGCATAAAAAGCTGACCTCTGTTTGACTTGCAGTTCATGTGTAACACATAGCAATTGAGATAAAAGAATTCTAAATGTTCTCAGCTAACTAGAGAGCAATTAACTACATGAAGTTGCAGATGTGCAACTGTTAGTGTCCATCATCAATGTAACAATTGAGTTTGGATTTCTTTACAGATCAAAGTTTTGACATCCCAGACAGAACTTTTCACTCTACCAATACAACCTGGCGCCTCTCTTCGTATGAATCAATGACTGACGTAAAGGAGCTTATACCAGAATTTTTCTACCTTCCCGACTTTCTAGTTAACAGAGAAGGTATACTAAGAGGACAACAGAGCTACATACCCAAAAGAGTTGTATGATTGAGCTTATGGGTTGAAACTGAGAACATTTATATCCCTTGGCTGAATATGCTAAGTAGTAGATGTATGGGAGAAATCTGGCACGAATTTGTGGGATATGGTAAAAAAGCTATTATGTAGGAGTTAAGCTAAGTTTTTCCCTAATTTGTCAGCAGGGCAAAAGAGTTTTCTGTTTTCTCATTTTCCCATTTGAATGAGTATGTACAGCTGAATGTGTTTTGGAGGGACTTGTTAGTGATGCTGCTTTGTTGATTGTTAATCACTGTGCTTAACCGTTGAGTTTTGTAGAACCCTGTAGACATTTTTGGAGTTATTGTCAACTAAAATGTTGGAATATTCACTCCACTGTTTCTAGGTTTTGATTTTGGAGTGCGTCAAAATGGTGACAGAGTTAACCATGTAAATCTTCCACCCTGGGCCCGTAATGATCCTCGTCTGTTCATCTTGATTCATCGTCAGGCTTTGGAGTCTGATCATGTTTCCCAGACAATCTGTCATTGGATTGACTTGGTGTTTGGTTATAAGCAAAAAGGCAAGGCCTCTGTTCAGGCTATTAATGTCTTTCATCCTGCAGTAAGTATTTGTTAAACAGTGTGTTTGTTCATTGTACTTGGTAACTTAATGGGGGAGAGTTTGAGTTTACTTACTTGGAAAACATCAAGCATGAAACAAGATCCCTGGCTCATGAAGTGTTGACCAATAAGAAAAGGCTTTAACCATTTCAATGTTGAACTATAAGATCCCAGGGGGTATTGTGAGACTTGGTGAATTTTTGTTCCTCTTTCTTGCCTTGAGCTAGCTGTGGGGGGATGATCAGGTCTGGGCTTTAGACCTTGTGGATAGTTGTTTGCAATGCCTTGCAGTAGTCTGTTGTAACTGTATGTATCTGCTTCTGCCTAATTCAAAAGCTTTTCATTTAGGCAGGTGCTGCTGCAGTTTTTGATAGGATTAAAATAGTTCTGTGTGTCCTGAGCTCATGGTGTTTTCCTTCATACACATCCTGTGTTCTGTCCCTCTAATGAGTACTTTTCTCTACAGTAAATTTGATTTCAAATAAGTCTTCATTTAATGTAAAGAATTCCAGAGTTTTACAGCTTAATTGCCATATGGATATCTTGAATTGTGTTCTTTAGCTTCAATCCTTAGCATCACAAGGTTTGCTCAGCAGGAAGTCCTGGTTTTAAGTGCATTCAAATGTTTCATATTTTTTAGTGTTTGTTTTATGGCTAGGAAAGCTAATAAAATGGCAGTGATGACTTCTTCAAGTAGCCATCCAAATATTTCCCTTTCTTTTATTCTTTTTGTGCTGAAGTACTGATTTAGTAACTTGAGCTTCAAATATTAAGTTTGCATGCTAATCATTTTTTAAAGTGAAAAGTCAAGGCCTTTGGTGTGACTGAGGAAAAGTGTGTGGTGCACAATTGAAGAAGCATGAAAAAGGCAAATAGAAGGAAATAATTTCCACTCTCTTGAAGTATGAGGTTTCTTTCTTCTTCCCTACCCCAAAAGAGAGTTTTAATATGCTCGTTAAAAAGAGGTAAAGAAAATAAACTTTTCCAATTCTTTTATCATCAGCAACCCTTCCAGTTTTGCATAGATTGGTAAAAGTCTCAAAGAAAACCTCTTGGACAGAAATTAGTCATAGCACATGTGTAGGAGCAGTTCCCATGATAATCCTTAAAGTGGTAGTTTATTCCAGTAAAGAGGAGGTGACGAGGTTACTGCTCTCTGTGGCTCTTTAGTCAGCACAGTCCTTGTGGGATGGCTTCTGATCCACACCTTAAGCAAACAACTTAATAGTCTGCCTCTGGGTTTGTGTGTGTGTTGCAAAATCTTTCCCAAAGACAAACCTGACAAGCTTATTCTTGTCCCTTCCCTTTCTTTTTTGCCTCTAGACCTATTTTGGGATGGATGTTTCTGCTGTTGAAGATCCTGTTCAGAGAAGAGCCCTTGAAACAATGATAAAAACATACGGGCAAACACCTCGCCAGCTGTTTCATACAGCACATGTTAGTAGACCTGGATCCAGGCTTATCATGGAAGGAGAACTTCCTGCTGCCATGGGATTGCTAGTGCAGTTTGCTTTCAGAGAAACCAGAGAACACACTAAAGAAATAATTTATCCAGTATGTAATTTTCAATTACAAGATGGTTTAATTAATATCTGTGTGCTGCACTTGTTGTACCCTGCACCTTTGGTTTAGAATTGTCTTCCTAAAAGTGCTGTAAAAGTGCTTCCTATATTGTACTGTGAAGAAAATACACAAAATTAGTAAGTGATGGTGAAAATTGCTTTCATGCAATTGTGTTTTTTTTGTGTAACCTAAGATCTGAGTTTACCTTGGCTTTGACAAATAGGTGTTGGACAGCATTTCAGTTAACCAGTTTTATACTTTCAGTGATGAATTGTGGAATCAGTGTGCAGACCTATTGCAGGCAAACACATACTGTGCTTTCTTCCATCCTCGGCTTCTTCACTGCCTGTAGGACAGTTGGACTTTCTTCTCTTCAGACACTTGTTTTACCTGAAGTTCAGTCAAAAACTGCATCCTTGGATGTAGAGATCTGTATTTTCCACTAAACTACCTGAACGAGAAGCTTGCTGCCTATACCTTTTAAGAAGGAATAGAACTACCTTAAAATTAACAGTTTAACTGATGGTACTAAAGACTTCAGCTGTCCTTACCATGTGATTGCTTACAGGAAACTGACATTAATCATTCTCCATTACTAATGAAATGATGTTTTTCTGAAAATTCTATGATTTGAACCTTACCTGTGCTTGTTTTTTAGAGTCCATTACCATGGATAAAAGGCTTGAAGTGGGGAGAATATGTTGGCTCCCCAAGTGCTCCAGACCCTGTTGTCTGCTTTAGCCAACCACATGGAGAAAGGTTTGGCTCTCTCCAGGCTTTACCAACTAAAGCTATCTGTGGTTTGTCCAGCAAGTTTTGCCTTTTGATGATATATAGCAAAGAGCAAGGTATGAATCTGTGCTTAATCTGTATATGCACAATATATGTGAAATGAGCCATAAAAAAACTTAAATCTAATGCTACTATTGTTCTTCAGCAAACTTCTCAAGTTTAGTTGCTTTTGCCAAAGATTAAATTGTAACTCCATTAACAGATTCCACATTGTGTGGCATTTTTACTGGAGGATGGATTTTACTCAGAGTTTTCAAAACTCTACAGTAGAGGCATTCTGTAATTGAGTTCATATTTTTCATTGAAGTGACAGAAGCATGAGAATCTAACTTTAGAACTTGCCAGCAGATTGGGTCCAAGAACTGAAGAACAGATGCAAAAACTTAATAAATGCTATTTAGAGGCAGATAATGAGAAAAGTTAACAGCAAAAAAGCAGAGGAGAAGAATCTTCTGCTTTCAGTTAAACTTCTTGGAGGGATTCTTATTGAGAATGTACAAACAAGTTCTACAATCTTTTGTTTTCCTGGTGGCATATACTAGTGCAGACTTTCTAAAAATCAATCACATTGGAGTCAGTAAAAGCAAGTAACACTACTTGAAGTTATAAGCACTCATTTCTCTAGGTGGGAAGTATTGTCTATCTCTTTTTCCTGTTGTCAAAATCATCAAAAGATGCAACTCTTCTTCAAAAAAGTTTTGTCCAGGTCACAAATTGTCTTTGGAGATGATGGAATGTTGATTTGGTCTCTGAAAACTGTTTATAATAATGCTACAGACAATACCTTACTTTGAAACTTTGGGGGGGGTTATATTTTAGCTTGTGATAAAACATGAAACTGAGACTTTTGTTGTTGACTGTTAAAGTGATTGAATCTTGCTATGCACGTGACACAATCCTGTGTGCCTTCCTTCAGGGGTGAGGAGCATGCACAGCACGGACATTCAGTGGTCAGCGATCCTGAGCTGGGGATACGCCGATAACATCTTGCGACTGAAAAGCAAACAAAGTGAACCTCCGGTGAATTTTATACAGAGCTCACAGCTCCATCAGGTAAAACGAAATCAGTCTCTTGCTCTTCAATTTAATATTGGTAGTTGAAGTTGTGGCTTGACTTGGCAGTGGGGTATTTTTTTGGAGATGAGCATCCAATCACAATTCCTTTTAATCTTTTTGATTTCCTTTGGAATGTGTTCCTTATGGCTTCACTGTTGTATCTTGCTCCTTGCTGTTTTCCTGTGCTAGATAAAGGTTCCTTTTTAATTAATTTGATTTTTGTAGCTTTTCCTTCCTATAGAATATTGCTGTGAATTTAAAAAAGTTTAAGTTCTGTCACAAGAAAAATCAGTACAGAAAAACATAGATTAGAAGAAAAATTCCATTACATAGATTAGAAGAAAAATTCCACTACAGTTTAGGATCTATTTGAAAAAAAGATTGTCTGAAAGACAGACAGAGAAAACTGCATAATCTGTCACAATCCAGTGACCAGTAAGATCCTGCCAAAAAGATTTTGGTGGATGCTCTTGAAGTCTGTACTAGTTCATTGCTCTTCAGCTGTCAATTCCAAGCTACATAAAACTCCCTCCTTATTCTGTTTCTGACATAGTAACAAATACAACCTAGAGCAGCTATATTTTAGCTCTTGTATTTCTTTAGTTTAGGTGTTTTACATGGTTTTTCATAGGATAACTAATAAAGAATCAGTTTGACCAAATGCTGCGGCATAATGAAAGCAGCAGTTAGAATAGTTTTTCTGTTCTAATTTTTTCCTGGCTTTGTTTTGTCTTTTCAAGGTAACAAGTTGTGCTTGGGTGCCAGACAGTTGTCAGCTGTTCACAGGTAGTAAATCTGGTGTCATCACAGCATATATGAACAGATTCACCAGCAATACGGTAAGTTACATTGGATAGAACTTAAAGGATTTAGAGCATGCAGTATTACAGTATTTTTTTTTTTAAACAGGAAAAATAAGAAAAAGAGCCATGTTCTGGATAATTGCTAAAAGAATCACATGAGTTTTTAGTATTTATTTTTGAAGGCTCCTCTGACATCTCAGCATGTTTGTTTGCATGTTTTTCTTAAGCTGCTGTTTACATACAGCTAGCCTTTAGTCTGCCCTCATTGCCTGAGTGCACAACATGTAGTGCTCTGACTGTGCTCAGGACAGGGCTTGGAACTGAAGCTCTCTGGCACAGTGAAGCTCCCTGCATTAAGGAGTAACTCCTTCTGTGAAGGAGACAGAGCCTTTCAATGCTTTAACTGAGGCTGTGGGATGCAATTCCCCAAAGTAAACAATAATTCAAGTGCAGAAGGCACTTAAACTACAGAGAGCCAGGATGAATTCTCAGACAGTGTATATATTAACCACCAAACCTCTTCACTTTGTCATATTCTCCGAGGGGAAATGTTGTGAGTAGGGAAGGGAGAAAGTAACTTGGATTACTTAATCTGTTAGTGGAAAATACTGAGAGTAGTAGAAAGTCCCTTGATACTCTTTGCTAATAAATGTGGTATAAATTGAAAAAATAGAAAGCATAAATAGAACTCCAAATTTAAAATCTGGTTCTGAGTTTTGAAGCTTTCATCTGAATCTTCCATGCTTTCTCTAGCAGTAAAACTTCTTAAAACTTCTCCATAGTTTTAATAAAGAGTAGGCAACTTTCCTAACAGCTCGTTTTAGGTGTGTCTACAGTATTATCCATAGCAGCAACTGAACTAAACTGATTTCCTAGTTGTAGCTTGAGACAGGTATTGGCAAACATATTTGGTGTTGTACTCCTTGATGCTCTTGAATCCCTACATTAGCATGAGCTAGAGAGAACCTTGGAATGATCTGCTATGCCTACCCAGTTTTCTGTTTTCAGCAGTGGCAAACAGCAGATGCTTAGGCTAGGAAGAACCTAAACAGTGATTTTTAAAATTTTCCCCTTGAAATATACTTGCCTTCTACAAAACTGAAAAGAAACTCTAGTTAAGTGGGGTTATGGTTCTTGAGTTCCTTCTGTTTCCTAGAAAAAAGTGATTTTTGTTCATCTGTGCAGATGATGTTCTTTGGGACCACCTTTGCTGAATTTCACAGCATTGACAGTTTTACATGCCCCAGGCAGAGGGACATTGTGTCAATTTTGTAGCTCCTGTTGTTGAGTCAGCAGAGGGACATTGTGTCAATTTTGTAGCTCCTGTTGTTGAGTCAGTTACCCAAATCAGGGCTGCAGGGAATGCAAATGTGCTTCCTGACATCTCCTCTGTATCCATCTTGTCAGCTGATCAGTGATAAAGTGAGCAGTTGGTAATGCAGTACTTGAAACATGAATATTTTGCCCTGTTTCACATTTGTATAAATGCAGTGCATGGGCATGAAGGAGATATTAATGTTGTTAATTGTGTATGGGCACTCAAAGGCATACTGTCAGAATTAAAAAATGGCTCCATGTTGTGCTTCAGGTGCTCTGTTTATCCTTGCCTTATGATGGTGAAAACCCCATGAAGTACTGCTTTGATACTGTGATCTGTGCTGACAATAAATCACACCTGCATGAGCCCCTCAGCCACAGGTGTCTGGTTGTACACATTATTTCAACCTTCACTTGCTGACTGTTAGAGGTGTCTTGCAAACAGAGAATGCACTTGAAGGACCTGTTTGGGTAATACTGGGAAGTGATCGTTTCAATTCCCTACTCGAGGTGCTGTAGGCAGGAAGAGCTGCTGTATAAAGGTATATATGTATATGTGTGTTTTCCCACATCTAGCTACCATTTTAGGGGTTCTCACCTAAAAATGGGGAAAGTAAGAAGGGCAAAATGTTTTAGGCATGAAAAATACCTATTTCATGACTTATTGAACTTAATATAACATAATACAGTTGGTGTTAGAATTCCAGGTTGTCTCATTGCAATATTGTCACTATAAGAATCAATAAACCACTGCTATTAGTATGGTAGAGAGAAGCTGCTAAAGCTGGGTGCTGCTTTCAGTTCAAGTGTCAAAATGCAGATCAAGAAGAAACACTTCAAAAGAAGTGGGAGGAGCACAGTAAAAAGGTTATCAAAATCAGTTCTTAAAAAAAATACAAGTCTTTTTGGTTGCTGTTACAGAAAATTTTGGTGTAATTTTTTTCTCTTAACTAAGAAAGGGTTAAAGAAGGATTGTTATATGTGAGATGTCACTGAGAATGACACCTGGGTACTTTCATAAATGTCTTACATGGGTGATATGCTCAGTAGAAAGAGCAAACTAGCAGTTCTTACTGTTGTCAGACTGTGCATTGCCTTTTGCTGTATTACATAGATTAGATTGTCCCTTTTTGTGCAAAGATGTAAGTTTTCTACAACCCATGACTTGAGCATATGTATACTTTTATCTTGTCTGTTAGAACTTTCAAGGTTTTTTTGTAGACCTGCTGTAGGTAGGCATCCTGTACCAGCATAAAAAATGCAGATAATGTGCTCTGACATGGTTGGGGAAACAAGCAGAAAACTGTTCTCTTCCTTTACAAAGATTATTCTAATCTCTGTACAGCAAGTTGTCTTAAGTAAAGCATTAGCATTCTGATTAAGCAGCTCCTTCAACTTATCCACTTTTCCGGAAGTCTGAATCATTTCAAATTATATAACTTGAATACAGCGTGTTGTTTGGTGTTAAATTTTGCTGCTTTAATTTTTACCTAGCAATTTCCATATTTAAACTTGACTTCCTGCATGTTTTTCCAACTTGGTGTCATTGAAGAACTTGGCACCAAGCTGAGGAATTCCTAGTAATTTGCTGTACAGAGTGACAGCTTCTGAGCAGGGTTTTCCTTTTATGCTTCCAAGTGCTTCCACTAGATGCTAAAATATTGAGAACTGTCATTTCACTGTGGTATGGAAAAAGCAGTCTTGCAGAAAACAAATCAGCCAAGTTCAAGCTGTGTAACTGAGACAGAACTAGATAGTTTTTCATTCCAATTCATCGGATTGCATCAATATGTTTGCTAAGGCTAAAGCACTGGAAGCAAAAAGTTGAGCATCAATGATAGCTAGGTCTTATCACCTTATAATGTGTTAAACATAATAAAGCATGAATATAGTTGGCAAAATGATGATGTTATTAAAAGCAGCGGGGAACCATTCTTTGGAATCCAAGACTTAAACTAGGCTTATCCTTTTTAGAAAAAGAGACGTGAATTTTGTATTTCATGAGAGTTTGTCTTATCTTGCTGTTTTTCAGCCTTCAGAGATAGAAATGGAGTCACAAGTCCATCTGTATGGACACACAGCAGAAATAACAAGTTTGTTTGTGTGCAAACCATACAGTATAATGATAAGTGTCAGCAAAGATGGAACCTGCATAATATGGGATTTGAACAGGTACAAGTATATATGTAACTCTTCCCCATAGCTTTCTTATAAATACAGGTTTTCCCACTCTTGGGTATCTTTGCATCTTTGAAGATAGTTTAATTTGTTCAGTGTGTATCTTATTGTGAAATCAAATCCTTCCTGTTTTTTCTCATTAAAAGGTGCTAAGATTTTATAAAAATACTAAAATATAAAAAATTATTAAAATATATAAAATAATATATAAAAACATAAAATAAATATATATATAATAAATATAAAATATGTAAAATATAATATATATTAGATATATAAAGATATATAAAATATATAAAATTTATAAAAATATTTAAAAATACTATAACTATTGCAAAATGTTAATTGAAATTAATGTAACTGTTTTTAATATTTTCCTCAAAAAACCTTTTCTGCATTTGATCCTGAAATTTAGGCTTGTTCCCTTTGTTTTCTTCAGGCTGTGCTATGTCCAGAGTCTTGCTGGACACAAGAGTCCTGTGACTGCAGTTTCAGCTAGTGAAACCACTGGTGATATTGCAACAGTTTGTGATTCAGGTATATTTGTCAGTCAAGAAAGCTGTTTTGACTTGCAGACCAAATAAATCGTGAGACTTATAACTAAATTAGTTACTGAGTGTGTATGAATCATCTGAGGATGCATTCAGTCATACAGGAACAACATTTTGGGGTTTTTTTGCATAGTAACATAAAAATTTCTCCAGAAGTGATTAGGCAGGTGTTTAAATCTGATGTAGGGATATGAAGACCAACACCTTGGTCTCTTTATTAAAAGATTTGAAATTCCAAAGATGCCTGGGAGACTCAAATTTTGTGACATTGGCTGCTATCATTTAAACAGAGATTTGTTGTCAAAGGTACAATTATTCGGGGGAGTACCATGTATTACAGAGCACAAGCAAGGGGTATTAAAGGACAAGGGGACATTTTTCTGTCATGTTCAGAAAACTAATATTTAGATTTTTCAAGTCCATTTCTATGGCTTACAAAATAATTTTTGTCCTGCAAAACATTGTATTCTTTAATTTCTAAGGGACATTACATTTCCTTTTAAGACAATGCCTTTCAAGACAAAAGCAGTAATTGGGTTATTAGTTCATTAATAGAATCAAATAACCCCAGATAACCAGATAAGAGAACTATGCTTGCTATTTGTTAAGTATTTTGCTTAAAATGCAAGCTAAGGTATGAGAACCAACTGCTTAGATAGCTAGTATGACTTCGATCTTAGTGCCTTCCCCATTAGTGCATGAAAACTGGTCATTAAAAGTAAACTCACATAATGCTTTGTAAGTAAAATGTTCCAGAAATAGGACGTGATGGCTTCTAAATTACTGCAGTGACTTGGAGGTTTGTGTGCTTCCTGTCTCAGAGAGAGAGAAGTAATTGCAGACATCACTCAGTCATTTAAACCTTATGAAGTCTCAAGAAATTGAATTCTTTACCACGGAATATTTAAATATTATCGACTTAACTGTGGTCTAGATTTATTTTTTTAATACTCCCATGCTATGTTCTGTTGCAGTTGGAGGAGGCAGTGATTTGAGACTTTGGACAGTTAATGGTGATCTTGTTGGACACGTGCACTGCAGGGAAAGTATTTGTTCTGTTGCTTTCTCTAACCAGCCTGAAGGTGTGTCTGTCAATGTGATTGCAGGGGGCCTTGAAAATGGAGTTGTAAGGTAAGCATTTGAAATGTTTATTTATTAAAATGCTCTATCACTTAGGCTCACAGTTTGAGAGCATGTAGCCAAACATCACGCTGGTATTTGGCTTTAAATAAGGTGGACAAGCTGTTACTCAGCTCCCAGACATAGCAGTTGCTAAATCAGACTGTGGAGTACGTGGGATTTGAAGCCAGTACGAGAAATAACATTTTCGAAGTCAGCCAAACCTATTGTAAGGTAAAAAGATCTTAAGTATACAATGAATTGTATCTTTCTCTTTAGGGGGAAAAAAAAAAACAAAACAGTCTTGAGTGTAGAACATGAAAATAGGAGGTAAACACCCATGTCTAAAAAGAGCAATACAAACCCACTAATTATTCATGAAAAAAGTGAGTACAAATGTACTGTACTTGTAATGACAGTAATAACCAGCTTCTGCTGCTGGCAGATGGAAATTAGCAGGATTTCCTTGAAAACTGAACAATAGCTATCCTCTTATTTTTAAATTTATTATTTTTCCTCAGAATCTGTGTTAAAATTCAATAATCTTAACTGTGCCAGACTCAAATAGACAGAGTATTTCTTCCTCAAAATTAAATGAAAATACTGCCTTTACTGTTTTTTCTGGTGGTAGAAGGAAATGTTGGAGAAGGAGTCAAACTCAGAGTAGCCTGGAAACTGCCATTTTGGAGTGCCTGTGTAGTTAGTTTCCTCTGAGTCCCATTGATTTAGATGAGCAGAATTCTCGTGCTAAATTTTCAGAATGTGGTGAAAGGATTGAGTCTCTGATATCCCCAGTGGTACGGTAGTCTGCACAAAGGTCTTAGAGTTATGCCAAAATTTTATCTTAATGTTAGCATAGTAACAAATTACTCTGAAAATTTTTTGTTTTGACTGTTGGTAAAATACCATTTAAAATCCAAGCTACCATTTTATCTTAGAAATTAAAAAGATTGTCTGATAGCAGTTATTGTCCTTGTTACCTCCTTTAAGTGGCATATTTCACAAAGCTTCTTGATAACGATTTAGTAGCTATTGAATAATTTAAAGTTTCCTGCTTAAATGTGACAGTAAATGGATGCTGACCTTCATGCTCTCTAACATTACCCATGGCATGACTGTGAAGGGATTTACCAGCCCTGTTACAGCTCAGGAAATGCCCATCTGAACAAAAGTCCTGTGCTGTGTCATGAAATCTGATGGATTTAGTTTCTGCCTTTGTCAGCAAAGCAAGTTCAGAGGGCACAGAGCTCTGTTGCAGAAAATCCTTCCTTTCAAAAACAGAAGGGAAGAGTGTAGGATTTTGCTACTAATCCTGCCCTTTGCCCTGTGACACTGCAAAGAAATGAGTGTTAAACTGCGGGGGATGTTGAAGTGCTGGCCAAAGCTACAGTTCAGCCCACAAATGGGTAAGCAGGTGTATGCAAACTTAGCATGTACTGCTGTGTTAACGTAGGCACTGGGCCTCCCCTGACAGCTCATCTTTGCTGGCTGAATTCTCATGGGCTTTTAATGTCTTCTAGCATTATGAATAGCCACATTTGGTATAAATATAAATCCTTCTTTTGCAGCCTTACGTTTTCCTGTGACGGCCATCACTTGTTCACGGCTAACAGTGACGGGAATGTAATTGCCTGGTGCCGCAAGGACCAGCAGCGCTTGAAGCTGCCCATGTTCTACTCCTTCCTCAGCAGCTACGCAGCTGGGTGACGGCAGGGCCTGCTGCTAACTCATGTCTCTGATGCACTTTAATCCAAATAGGTTATAGGAACTCTTATTTAACTGGACTTTGAAGTACTTTGAATGTCCCTAGAATGACTGAACAGGTGGGGCTTGTTTTTAAAGAGCAGCCTAAGGTGGTTGTAAGATTGCATATGTGCATGCACAAACTTGAAGCATATCCAGGTCATCAGGAAGCTCTGGTCATATCCAATGCCAGCAAAGTGACTAAGAAATGCTCAATGCTGCAATATAAAACACCAACAGTATTTTTTTAAATCACTTCTTGTGCGGAAGTATTTAAAAAAAATTATTATGCTTATTCCCCCTCTTAGTATGTAAAATATCAGCAGCATCAAATTCTGTAAATATCTGTTCAAATGTCAGCATATGTATATCTGATTAGTTGAGCGTGATATGGTTAGCTCTGGGATAAGCAATCCAAAACTTAAAAATCAACAACCATTTAAAATTGCTTTTTTTGAGAAGCAAGAACTTAGTAGGTGCTTTTTGCACCGTCTTATGGTATCGTAATGCTAAAAATCAAATTTCTGCTATCTTTATATTTGTAATTTTTGCCATCTTCTCTGTTAGTGGAATAGTCTTTGTGACAGACGACAATAAAATGTTCGTCTTAGTGATGGGTAGACACCTCATGGCATCGTGAAACAATGATTAGATCACAGTGCAGTGTGAATTCCCTAATTTTGTTTGTGATAGTTGGCTCTCCCAGTTCTGTGACAGAACATCTATTATGTACATGCACAGCTTATCTTCCAGAGCTCTAAAAAGAGGTGTTAAAGAAGGCACAGATGTGCTCCTGTTCCAGTGTCATTGAGGTTCAATACACTGTAAAATGTTTGAATCTAACTGCTTGAATAATCAATGTTCATAAGCTTCAGATGATCTGGAAAGGTTCACACAGATACGCTGTGCAAATCTCTTGTGTGTTCCTGGGTGCTATTTTACGAGGGGGAAAAAATAAGCCTCTGTCATGAACGGCTTAACAAATTTGACATCTTAGGCCACATGAAAAATTAGTATTTCAGTTGATGGATTTGAAGGCCTCTAAATCTGGCACCATGACTGAGTGCCTACTAGTCATGCGAATGGTAAAGCAAGAATGCTACGCAAGTCTGATGTAGTTACATTTTCCTTTTAAATTGCTTTGCTTTTTTATCACTGACATGTCCTGCTATTGCCATTCAAACTGCTGTATCTTCTCATGTTTAAGGCTCATACGCTTTCAGAACACTTTACATTAAATTGTCAGGTCGTGACGAAGGTGACGCACACGCAATCTTTACACTTCTTTTGAAAATTCCAGATAGTCTTCAGAAATTCTTGCGACTTCCTGGTTGAAGAACTTTTCAAACTAGAAAAACTTAAGAAAAATGTTCTCATAGTTCAAGACACAAAGGCTCATCATTGGTTCAATTAAGCAAGTGGCTGCACACTGTATGGATTGAGTTTTAAACTGCATATTATTGTAGCAGCATTGTATGGGATGGCTGTAGTCATATTTTTTGCTGTCTAAATGTTAATGTAAGGTCCACATACAGACTGAAAAGCTTCCTGGCTCATGTTAATGTGATGTGCTTTGTTTAAGAGAAAAAGACAAACATTGTGGTTTTGGGGTGCATTTGTGCTCCCTGTTTTGGGGTGTTGCTCACAAAGGCTTATTTTTTTATAAAGTAGAATTCCACTTGTTACAAACCAATATGCAAAACTGCTGGCCTTGTAAAGAGTGCAATATTATATATTTTTATGTAAAAGTAAAAATGATTTTTTGAAGCAAGGAATATTTATTCAGCTTGATATTCTGGAACTATTAAAATAACATTGCAATAGTGTCTGTGCATGATGTACTTAAATTTCCTGTAAATGTCACATTCCACACTGTATTTGTATATACACTGTCACATTGTTGGGTAATAAACAGATCTTTGTATCAAACCATTTTGAGATGATTAGAAACATGTTTTTGGCTTAGTTGCAACTTTCTTCTTTTAGGGAATCTTTCACACCTTGCTCCAGATCAATTTCTGCTGATTCCCTTGTCCTTCGTATTTTAAAAATCATGGAGTGGGAAAATTCTGTTTATGGACTACATCTTGTGTCTGTCTAACTGAAGGTGGGGGGAATGTGAGATGGGAAGTGGGAAACTAGGCATATCACTTTGCACATGTGTGCACATGTCCTTCCTTCCCCTAGGATGCATGACTAGAATTTGGATTAAATGATGGCTTTCAAAGTGGAGACATTCCCCTTCCTTCCATCTGCCTTCTCACTGAAAATCTGTCTGAGCTGCAAAGGCAGAAAAGCAACTTCTCTCTGAATTCTCAGAAAGAGGGGTGGAAATTGGTAGACTGGGATCTCGGGGAGGCATCTGACAGTATGTGAGGCTCTTCCTGTTGGAAGCCAGGGTTTGGGAGAGGTTCATGGGGAAAGGCCTGTCTATCTGATTGCAGGATTCTGTGTTAAATCCAGACCTTGATGTTCTGATAGTGGAGAGACATGGAGAAAAAGGAAAGGGGAGGCAATTGCTGGATATTCACTTGTGTTGTGTTCCAACCCATTACTGAAAGGGAGTTCTGATCTTGCATTTAGAGATCCACTGCTTAGACAAACCCATGACAATGAACAGAAGGAAAAAAAAAAAAAAAGCCGGAACTGAATTAAGCAAAAATATTATAATAATAGTAAAAGATAACCATGGAGTGGTGGGGGAAATAGTACCTGGCTTACTACTAACAAATATTTAGTTTACCTTTTAATTTCTTCATGAATTCTTTTGATTAAAGCTGTCTTGGGTTTTTTTCCTTCTTGCATATGAAAATGGAAGTCACACTTCCATATGCTGCTACTCTATTACAAAAGCGATCAAACAATTACTATTTAAAAGCTCTGCCTGCCTTGAAAAATACCCACTGGAATATTTAAGCCTCTGTACGTACAGACACCTTTTTTTACTTTGTTGCTGTATTAAGTTACAAACGAGTGACAAGTGACTGCTGTTTAGAGATTTATTTGCCATTACTGCTCTGGAGTGGGGTCTGAAAGGCACTGATTCTGCATCAGGTTTTCTGTAATAGGCTCTGTTTGGTATTTCATAATTTTGAAAAAGGATTAAAAATGAAATGTGGTTTAGAGCCAAGTTCATGTAAATTCAAGGAATAGAAATTTGTGTTAGCTCTATGGGTATTGCCTCTAGAACCTGTAGGGGAGACTCTTGGTTGTGGTGGAAGGTAAAAGTTTGCAGATTTAAAAGAAGACAATTTAAAAGAAAGACCTGTGTATTATATGATGAAAATACATTTTAAAACAGCTAATTTCCCACCTTTATATTATGGCTTAAGTCATAAAATTGTTAGAATCCAGCAGTAAAAACCGATGACAACAGTTTCATGATTGGAACCATCTAATGTGCCATTGTCTAACAGCATGTAAATCCCTTTTACATTATGAAATGAGGCCTTTTGTCGACTGAGGATGTAGTTGAACATGAATGAAAGAGCAGCAGCGTAGGCCACTGAGGTTTCCATCAGTTTCTGGAACTCTAGTTATGGGAGGCTTGTGAACATACCTATGTATATTTAGTGATGTTTACCTTCTTCCTGTTGCATCTCCTACCCCAAAAGCCATTGACTCAGAAAAGGCTGCCCTTGTTCCAGAGCACCTTTTAAAAATAGGGCTCTTCCTCGATCTCTTCCATATGGAAAACAAATGTTGCTTGGAAATTCTGCTCCATTATGATGGAATGAGAAAAAGTGCCGAGGGCAGGTAGGAGAGAACATACATCCCTCCAGAGGGAACAGCCATCTTACTAGGGAAAAAATTAACGAGACTCTGGTGATCCTGCCAACAGGTTATCACGGCTGACAAAATTTTCAGTTAAAAATGTTAATTGGCACTTTTAAATGTTGCTGATCCATACAGCTTTTATAGGGAGAAGCATATAAAAATTGATCTATGAAGCTAAATAGGATTGTTCTGACGTACTACTAGCCTTGACAAGGCGAAACAATGGCATTCTGGCCTGGATCAGCAATAGTGTGGCCGGCAGGCCCAGGGCAGCGACTACTGTGCACAGCACTGCTGCGGCTGCACCTTGAGTGTTCGGTGCTCAGTTTTGGGCCCCTCAGTTCAGGAAGGACACTGAGTGTGTCCAGAGGAGGGAAATTAACTTGGTGAAGGGAACTCGGGTGCTGTGAGGAGTGGCTGCAAGAGCTGGGCATGTTTAGCCTGGAGAAGAGTAAAGATTGCTCTCTACAACCAGTGGGAAGGAGGCTGTAGCCGGGTAGGGGCCGGACTCTTCTCCCAGGTCACGAGTGATAGGATGAGAGGGAATGGCCTCAAGCCGTGCCAGGGGAGGTTCAGTTTCGACAGTAGCAGGAATTTCTTCCCGTAAAGGGTGATTAAAGTTCGGAATGGATTGCCCAGGGCGGGGCTGGAGTCACTGTCCCCGGATGTATTTAAGGAAAGACTGGATATGGTGCTTATCGCCGCGGTCTAGTTGAGAGAGTGGTGTTCGATCAAAGGTTGGACTCGATCTCAGAGGTCTTTTCCAACCGAATTGACTTTGTTTCTGTGATCTGTGATTCTCTTTGAGAATAGCTGGATGATCCCTCGCTCCCTAGCGCCAGCTGGAGCCGGGGCAGGAGACGGCTGCGGCAGGAACGGGGAGGGCCGGAGGCAGGCCGAGCGTGAGGGCGGTGGCAGCGGGG